AGGGTGCCCGCCCCGCCGGCGGCAGCGTGCAGCAGCACCCACTCGCCCTGCTTGACCGGGTAAGTCTCCTTGGCCAGGGTGATGACGGTCAGGCCGCTCAGAAACGCGGCCATCACGTCCTCGTCGGAGAGTCCCTCGGGGATCTTGACCGTCTTGGCCATGGGCACGGCGGTGTACTCGGCGTAGCCGCCCGTGCTGAGCCAGGCGACCCGATCCCCAACCTGCAGGTTGTACGGGTTGGGGCCGGGGCCCAGCGCCACGATGGTGCCGGCACCCTCCCGCCCGAGGATCTCGGGCTTCGCGGACGGGTACAGTCCGGTCCGGAAGTAGGTGTCGATGTAGTTCACGCCCGAGATGTGGTTCTTGACCAGCACTTGGCCCTCCTGGGCACTGGGCACGGGCTGGTCGGCCTTGAACTCCAGGACCTCGGGACCGCCTAGCTTTTCGACCTGGACGGCTTTCATGGTCTGAGGGACGGACATGGTGGTGTTGGTGCGGGTGGGGAAGCTGATGGGAGAGAAAGGCGAGGGTCGAAAGTGAGCGTTTAGAGCTGCAAGGCGGAGCGCCGGGGGTGAGAAAGACGCAGTTGGCGTGGCGGTGCGGAGTAGACGAGGGACGATGCGATTGAGGGGCATTGGAGGGGGACTCGGAAGGATTGAGAGGGAGGGAGGGGCGGGGTGATCGGTGGGTTATATTCGACGTACTCAATACGTACTTGTCAAAAAGATGGATAGTTAACACGAGCACTATCACTAATCTTCAGGCGGCTCAATTCCGAGATGCTTGTTTTCTGTCATGATCTCGAATGCTCGTGTTTACTATCATTAATAATTCTGGTTCCTTTTACCCCACACCTTTCAGCCTATCGTCGTTACGTCTACGCTTTGCGACGAGGTGGTTTTCCGCTGTCATTTGCATTGCATTCAATATTCATCTGGTAAGTGCTAGGGGCAGGAGATCTCTACGCGGCATTTCTTTGACTCTTCTCTATCTCATCCCGCATCTCGCATTTCGCAATTGTGTTCAGCGTCCACCGTTCTTAAATCTTCATCCGACGGAGTGACGCCATCGGCATCATTGCCGAACCGTCGGATATCCGCGGCCTCAGCCCGATCATCGCTCCGAACTGCCGACGGCATAACTATTCAGGCATAGCTGAGTCATTCATTCCATAGTAAAGCACAAATCCCCGCATGGCGGTCTTGCCCTTTCGGGAGTACCCCGTTGTCTTGCCCGCCCGCAGTGGAACTAAACTACTCGATGCATCGATCGATGATGCTCCAGTTGCTTTCCTCCTTCCACAATCCCACGATGGAGTCATCGCACTCCTTCTGACAGTGGCCCTGCATCACCGTCAGACGTATATCCCAACTTTTCAACCCATCACGCCAGCACACCCCTCCCAAAGCCTTCGCCTTCTTTTCAATGCAGCTTGCCACCCATTACCTCTTCTCACCGTCTTTCCAGCTGATATCATCGCATCACTTGCCGCAGATGAGATGCCCATTGGTCGATGCGCACCATACGACCAGCATCTACAGGTCAAGAATGCTGCAGCTCATCCCAATGGTGGCATATGTAGCCAGAGGCGCCCAATACAGACCGTGATCGTGTGTGGCTTTGCTTAAGCCCTGCTCTTCTAGTTGCCTGTCATGCCTGTCAGGCCAATAACCATCCCTCTAGTTCGCCGCCTGTGCCTTGGGGATGACGCCTTTCCCGCAGGTTAAAACTTCGCCTGCTTACCTGCCCCTGGTCGAACAATTGGCACCTAAACCGACGACAAAGGAGGGGTGGGACAAATCAACGGCCAGCTTCGCCTCTACGCATGCACGATCAAGCCATTCTCCTGTCCGGGGATCAGAATGGTTTCATCTTCAACGACTCCTGTTGACATGGCTCAGGCAGGACCATTCATTCCCAACGCTTGACATATGGCCACGATCGTCGTGTTTCAGCGTCGGGGGGGAGTGATTCGCTCGCTGTTAACGCCCAATCTCTGGGGCTGGATTCTGATAGGGCCAGTACCCCGGCCAGAGGCGCTGCCCAACCGGGTTCCCATTGGGGTCGATTTACTTTATATAGTCTCTCCGTATTCTCTGTGCTTGTTTTTCCTCGTCCCTGGAAGTGTACATCAGGACTACTAACCATACTTTCGCCTAATACTTAATTCCAACCGCCCCTGGAAGGTTTTCAGAGACTGCCCCAGTCTTCTGCTCACTAGTTGCTCCAATTTTTCCTGCGCCGCTCGGCCCCATTCCAACTCAATTGCTGATTCCCTGACTCCGCCCGGGGCTTGTGTGTTTTTTGTTTACTTTTGATTGTTTGCGTCCGCTGGATCCTTTGCTCTTTCCTCGAGAACGTTTCTCTCGTGAGTCCGACGTTCGACGGATTTATAATGCCAACAGCCAGGAACGTGATTCTGATCCGACGTGCCACCGCAGGATAAATCCCCAGGAGTGCCGCCCTCACACCGATTGGAGCCTTGTATTCGACTGGATCAAAGTTTTCTTCTGTTCTGATTTTTGCTTTACCCCTCGTCGCCATGTATCTCAGGACCAAGGTGCACTTGCGCTGGCGCAAGCAGACCCAATGGCCACCTGCGCCTTCCGTGGAAGACGAGACGGTATCCCTTTCTCGCGAACTACACGGGATGACCAAGTTAGGAGAAAAGCCCGGAGTAGAGGGCGTCTGCTCTCGGGGAACTATTGACCAGCATCCAGTGATCGTGGATGTGCTATCCTTCTCCTCAGTTGTTCACACGACGATCTATGAGGACTCAGTCCGCGAGAGCGGCTCTGATGACAACGCAGGGCCGCCAACGCCGTCAGCGGAAATTGAACATGACCCAATGCTCTACATTGTCGAGGATGATCAGGCTGTGCCTCTGTCGACCTCATGGGCTTCTTCAGATAAGATTTGCGGACCTCCAAATTCGCTAACACGCCCGCAGCAAGTCCGAACCCCGAGCAAGACCGTCGATGGCCGGCCTAGCGGAGCAAAATTCACCACCCAGAGGGACAGTATTCCCAAGAGAGATTTGGCCCAGGGATCCCGGTCTGGCCCTGTGACATCCAACACGCCCGCCAAAGCGATCGAAACCACAACCACGGCATCCCCGCCTAGTTTGAAGCGAGCGGGCAGTACGAAGCCCAGTTCATCTGCCAAGCAGGTGACCAGGCCTCCCATGCCGAAGCTAGGCCATCAATCTGATTCGGCTGCCATTGGAGTGAAGGGTTCCTCGCTCAAGCCTCCGGCCTCACCCACAGAAAAGTCTTCCACTGGGCCTACTTTGGCTGAGAGGATAGAGGAGAAGTTGCGCCAGAGGCAAGAACTTCGCGCATCGCAAGAGGCTTCACAGAACCACGATCAGAACAGTCCGCCACCTGCAGCTGCAGCTGCCCAACCGATCGCCACCGTTGAGCAAACAGGCCTCAAGCCATCCATTACGTGCCCTAATGGGTGCGGCGCGCCACAGGCTAACCAGCCGATCCCTTCTAAGTCTACATCGACGGCCAAGGAGTCTACTGAACACGAGAAGAGTGAAGAGGATCCTTTCTCGGCCTCATTTACTGCAGCGCTGGCCTCCGAGGCCCCAGCGCGGCCCTTGATTGGCAACAGGCCGGATGGACGATCCCAGTCTTCAGACAGGGCACAGTCGGTGTCCTCGCACACCCCCAGTAGACGTGCTGTGTCTTTCCTGGATGACACGTTGCAGCGGCCTGTGTCACCCGATGAAGACCCCGAAGATGCTTACCAGACTGGAAAACAAGTTGGTCGGCGAAGCTCTTCGCAGGGTGCCGTGCGCAGAAGTTCTCCTAAGCCCCAGTACTTTCTGTCGCCTTGCCCTCGGTCAGTTCCTGTGGCAGGATACCAGGACTGGCACACCGTGAAGGGAATCCCTCACTTGGATATCTGTCCATCCTGCATGAAACAGATGCGCAAGTCCCGGTTCCGAGATCTCTTTGTCCTAGCGAGCCCCCGACCTCGCGAAGAGAAGGTTCGCTGTTCCATGAGTGAGCCATGGACGCGCTTGGCATGGATGCAGACACTCAAGAAGCACCTGGACCACCTGGATCTGCTCCTGCAGATCACGCGGCCAACGTCAGGCAGCAAGCCTTGCTCGGGACGCACTATCAGTGATCAGTACTGGTACCGTGTGGTGGACCCGGACACCGACATGTATCTCCCGCAGTTCAACGTATGCCACTCCTGCGTTCGCAACCTGAGGACTCTGATGCCGCGACACCGGGAGACATTCAAACGCAGTGCCACCAAGCAGGAGAGGGCGTGTGACTTTGTGACTGACAGTGCTCGGTTCGTCCGCTATATCGACTGCCTGGATATGGCCGCCAACCGAGCCGAGCTGGAGCATGCGGTGCGGCCGGACATCCGTGAGTTCCTGTCCTATGCGCGGCGCAAGGTAGTGCTTCGAGATTGCCGGCGGGACCGGCAGGTTCTCAGCACCTGGCACTACATGCCGCAGCTGCCTGAGCTCACGGTGTGTGAGGACTGCTACGACGATGTGGTGTGGCCGCTGGTCAAGGCCAAGCTCCCGATTGCGCGCAAGTTCTCGACCACGATGCGGCTTCTTCCTGGGGAAGGCCCGTCGCGCTGTCGCGAGGCGAGCTGCCAGCTGTACTCGCCGCGGATGCGCATGAAGTTCCAGGAGGCGGTGCAGCTGGACGACCTGACGTATCTGAAGCTGGTGGCGCTGCGACGTCGGGAGGCCGAGCAGCGGTACCGAGACCGCCAAGTCGAGCTGCTGGAGGATGCCAGTCGGGGGTATGAAGTTGAGAGTGAGATGCGGAAGAACGTGGAGGAGTGGAAGCGATGGGAGTAGCCGGATGACGGGTGTGTGTGTGTGTGTTTGTGTGTATCTTTACTGTTTGATTGTTTGTGCTTCAGGACCAGCCTGTACGGTAGACTTAGACTATATACATGTATCACCTCTGTGCAACAGCAACAAAAAGCAGCCTCGTAGTGTGCCACCCTCCTAGGTACTAGGCACTAATCTGCTTCGGCAGTTGGCTCTGCTCGCCCAACTCCACCAACTCACTCAGCGTGACCACGCGAAACCCCCTCCTCTTCAACTCCGGCACCACCAGCTTCAGCATCGGCACCGTCCACCCCCTCCGATCATGACAGACAATCACACTGCCCGACCGCACCATACTGAGAATATGCCACGCATTGACCCGCGGCCAATTGATCTGCGCATCATGCGGATACACACTACCCAGGGCAATCCGCAGCCCCAGCCTCCGGATGAGCACGCGCATCCGATCCGAGAAGAACCCAGACCCCGGCCTAAACCATTTATACTTGACCTTCTTCGCTGTCACCCCATCGGCTCCCTCCCCCTCCCCCTCCCCCACCGGAAAGACCAAATCCTCCACCCGCTCCAACCACCCCTGCACGCCCCTCACCTCCGCCTCGAGCACCGCATCGCTCAGGTCCCGCGAAGGCCGATCCGACATCGCATGATTCCCCAGCTCCATGCCCTCCCCCACCAGCTCGCGCAACATCGCCTCCCCATTCCCTCCGCGCGGCCCCACCCCGGGAGCGGGGATCTGCGCCCCGATGACGAAAAACGTCGCGCGGGCGTCGTTCTCCCGCAAAATCTCGAGGATCTGCGCGGTGAAGGTGGACGGAGAATCGTCGATGGTCAGCGCGATCGTCTGCGGGGCGGAGGCCGGGAGCGGCACGTGGAAGAGGGCGTCCGGCCAGCGGTGCTGGAAGTACCGGATCAGGAGGTTGGGCGGCCGGTAGATCGTGTATGCTGGGAGGAGGACGAGGAGGGTGAGGAGGAGCAGGAGCGTCAGGAGGGCCATCTTCAGGACGCGGCGCGTCAGGAGGTGGGTCTTGTGCGGCGTCGAGGCGTGGAAGTCTGTCGACGGGGTGGGTTTGTCTTTGTAATTGGTTAAGGCGTCGGGGTAGGGGTAGGGGTAGATTGGGGGCCGGGAGAGGGCGCGCGAGCGGGCGCGGGCGCGCGTGCGCGTGCGCAGGTGCAGTGGGAGGAGGGCCTGGAGGGGCCGCGGGAGGGTGGTTAGGAGGCGGGTGAGGAGGCGGGTTAGGTGGTTTGTTAGGTGGAGGCGGGGCATTTCTTTGTTTCTTTGGGGGGGTGGTGGTTGGTTTGGGGGGAAGGAGTGGTTGTTCGGTTGTTGGTTGGGCTTGATAGTGGTGGTTGTGGTTGTGGTTGTTGTCGAAATGAGAGGCGTCTGGCTGGTGCAGCTTTCAAGATAGAATCTAGGCCATTGTTTTTGTGGTTGAATGGATCTAGCAAGTAGAAGATAAAGAGTGTTTGTTGGGATGGGATGGTTGTAGGTTGTTGATGGAGAGGAGATGAAGGTACGGGGTATCCGTAGGTGCCCAGTGGTTTATCATATCAATCAACACTAACCGCTTTTAATGTACTCAGCACTACTCGGTGCTAACCCACCAATCCGACCACCTCGCCCGGCCATTTCTTCCCCCACACCAACGCCCGCGGAGGCACTCGCCCCCCCACCGGCGCCAACACCTGGATCTTCCCCCTCTCGTTGTTCACATCCGCCACATACAGGAACCCCATGATACTCGCATCCCGCACGTCCGCCGCACTGGCCGTCGTTGGCGCATGCGTGATCGCCAGCAGCGAATTGGCCAGCCCCGTGGGCGCCGGCGGGAGCAGCTTCTTCAACGGCACATTTGCGCCGCCGCCCGTCTCCGCCGTGGCACTCGACGGCGCACTCCCGAACCCGGGCAGAACCGACGTTGCACTACTGTCCTCCTGCTGCTGCTGATTGTGGTTCGAGCCCGCCTCGTTGCCTCCGCCAGGGAGGAACGAATCCGTGCCAAATGACGCCGGGTCATATTCATCCTCGTCCTCCTCCGGGGTAGCGATGGTGTAATTGTATATCGACAGGGTGCTGAGATCCAGCTGCTGCGCGTGCGGCGACAGCGTCACATTCTTGGAAGAGGCGGCCAACAGCGGCAGCGCCCCCGACGCGGCGGAAGGGATCTGGTCGCCGAAGAAGTAGGTGCGGATCTGCGACTCGCGGACGGCCTTCATGAACGCTGCGTCCCGATCCACGCATCCCCCGGACTTGGACAGCTTGATCACGGAGATGCGCTCATCCGACGCCACGGCAGACGCACTGGCCGTAGGTTTGTTATCAAACTCCTTCATCATCGAACTGTAGAGTCGTTCGGAGCCGATCACCAAAATCGTCGTAACTGTATCACCCCCAAATCACGTCAGTAAATGTCCCTAAGACCTCCTCACAACAAATCAATCCAAACTCACTGGCGAACTCCGTCACAATATGCTTGATCAAGTCCACATTCCCCGCCTTACTCTGACTGAGAATCCCCGGCGTGTCGACAATGATCCCCGTCTCCCGGACATCCTCATCCTCGGCCATGCGGCCCATGACCGAGACGGCCAGCCGCGACACGATCGCCTTGTACACGGACCCCTCGGCCTCGAGCGGGCTGGCCATCGGGTAGAAGTAGACCAGGGGCACCTTGACGGGCACAGCACTGGGGCCGGACATGGGGCTGGACCCCCAGCCTTCCTCGACGTCGATCATCGTGCGGAACGCGGTGGCCGTCAGCGTCCCGGGTACACTCAGCATCCCCTCCGTGGGGTCGAGGTTGACGACCACCGGCTGACGCCCGACCTTGGTGGCGTACGCCGTCAGGATCTTGGCCAGACTCGTCTTGCCCGCGTCCTCCGAGCCCAGGATCAGCACCCGCGGCCCGTCCCTGCCCTGCGCCTTGGCCTGCCGCCGCATCGTCTCCAGCGCAAAGTGCACGTTCGCGTATTCCACCATCGGCGTCTCCTCCGCCGTGTACTCGCTCTGGCAGCCTCCGGCGCCCAGGCCGCGACCGCCGCCGCCGCCGCCACCCGTCGTGGGTGGTTCGTTACTGTTGCTGTTGCTGTTGTTGCTGCTGCTGTTGTTGCCGCCAGGCGCAAGGCTGTCAGGTGTCGCGTAGGACTCGCCGGCGCTGACCTCGAGCATGCATCCGTGCCATGTGTAGATCGCGGCTTTCGTGCCGGTGAAGGTGTACGTCTGGGAGGGGGCGAGTTCCGTACCGAAGAGTTCGGCGGTGCCGGTGAGGAGCTAATTCTCAGGATCAGTCAGTTAGTTGCTGAGAGGTCAATTGAGGATCAAAAAGAAATCCCTCGAGCATGAGAGCTGTAGAAACCCCTAAGAAGGCGGTGCTCACCTTGACGCGCACGACGGTGCCGAACGCGACCTCAAACCGCCATTCTGAACCTTTGCCGACAGTGATTTGCGTCGGCGGTGCGGGGACAAACTCCTTCTCCCCGGAGGGCTGGGTAAGGTCTAATCCCGGAAGAGACATGGCATTACGGTGCTGAGGAGATCAATGAGCGTAGAGATGGGTATGGAATATTCGTAGATTTTATTTGCACCACAGTAAGAAAGAAGTCTGAAAGGAAGAACAAAGAATGGAAGAAAGAAAGTAACCTTCGGAGACGTCAGGCGGAGAGAACCACCCGCCGATAACGATGTTTTGCTGGTTTGCAGCGGAGTCCAGCTCAAATGCCAATCTCACTTGGTATTACCCCACTATACCCAAAAAAAACAAGGCCGAACCGCCAATCTACAACCAGGAGATAAACATCGCTACTTATCAACATTCAAATTCTTGCATGTAGCGTCGTCTGCCGAATCTACCCTAACAATAGCACAACGCCCGAGTACAGTCCAGTCAAAGCCATCCGATTGCATCACGACACCAGGGGTCTTTCCCGGCGCAAATGGTGTAGAAACGAAAAAGAAAAACCACATTATAGGGGCATATATCAGGTATCCAGGAAGAAGGGGGATGATGAAAAGGTGCAGGTAAAGAACGAAACGAACCCAAGGCTTTCTCTCTGATCTCCAGGACCTGTGCAGGCCAATCTCCCCCGCCTCGACGCACATCACTCGCAACCAAAAGGCACAGCATTGGTAAGGAAATAAACTGGTTCAGGTACGGTACACATCAAGATGACCATGATTGGGGGAAGAAACGTGATTGGCAAGGGGATAATCGACCAAAGCCCGAACTCGGATTTGAGCGAGGGTAGCAAAAGTGCACGGAAAGAGGCTTCTCGCGGGCATTGCATGGCAAAAGTCGTCAGGGACCATGGCAGTTGTGAACATACGGTCAAGGAGGCTGTGGAACCTATGATCATGGCGGAGACAGGTGTCGGTTACTACAGATGCGGGCGTAGGTTGACATCACGAAGGACCTCGTGCGTCTTTGGCTCCACTCGTGATTGAGAAATGTATTAAATTCTTTAGATGAAGAAGTAAGGAATCGAGGCGCTGCATAGTCCAGTTAGTAATGTGCGATGAAAGACCGGGTATTGTAGAGGGGTACTAACGCAAGAGCAAAGGCAGCTGTAACACCAACAAGAGCACGATTCCGGACGCGCTCCTGCTTGAGCTTCTCTTCCAGGACCTTGGCGCGCTTCGTCCGGAGAGTGCGGGCTTCCTCATCTTCCTCATCCTCATCGTCGCTGAGAGCGTCAGTCTTGCGTTTCACGGCCGCCTTGGCTGACGATGGCTCGGCGGTCTCTGCCTGGAGCTTGACAGCTTCTTCCACCATTTCCTTGGCCTTGGCGATCATCTGCTCGGTATCAGCTGCAGAGGGTGCTTCGGGAAGAGTAACCGGCAACTCCACGGAGACGGTGGTCTGGGTGGTCTTGACATCGTCGAAGGTGTTGGCGGTGGTCTCAACGTCGACCTTCACCTTCTGTTCCTTCTCCTCCTCTTTTTGCTCCTCCTTTTGCTCCTCTTTTTGCTCTTCTTCGACATTGTCCTCAGGAATGACCCGACGCGCAATCTTGGAGGGTCTGGGCGTCTTCAACTTTCTAGGAGTGGGGGCCGGCTTCTGGTCGCTATCAACTTCGACGCTGGGCTGGATGGCTCTGATCACCGACTCGCTTTCCACGGTCGAAGCGGTCAAGTCGAGAGAAGACTGTAGGGTAGCATTTGCAGCGCTGGTGGCGGCAGCGTTCGCTTCCTTCATGGCTCGAGTTTGTCTAGGCTTCCGGGGCGAACTAGGTCTCTTGCTGGGGGAGGCCGAGCGTCCTCGTCTGAGACGGGTCGTGGAAGTGAGGAGGGTCGGGGCCTCGATAGGAGGCAGATCGAACCTGGGGGGAGGCGTGATTTGCTTCTTTGCAGAGGAAGGGCTCTGGATAATATCGGTGGGGTCAAGCAAGGCTCGGACCCAGTCGTACATCTGATACTCCTTGGCGAGCTCAAGAGCTGAGGAACGGTATCAGAGAGGCAGGCCAGGGATTGTTGTAAGGTGGTTCGAAGAACTTACCAAGTACAGGAGAGATCCAGACGTTGCCGGCAATCTCGTCTTCGCTCGTTTCAGACCGTGCTTTCAAGTACTCCCGCTCAGATCGTTCTTCGTCAAGCTTGGCCCAGGGGAAAGCGATCTTGAACATGCCCGTGGCGCTAACGTATCCGTCTCTGCTACGACGCTGGAAGAGACAAAGGAATCCACCCCGTTAACCATGGTTCCGTGACGTTCCGATTCTGAAAGGCTAAGGGCCTGGAAGGACGCGACTTACCATCAAGAAGTACGTCTCCGGGTGTTGTTGAGGAGCATGTGAAGGGAAGATTTCAGATCCTTTGAGATCACTGGGCAAGGGAGCGCGTAAGTGAGCATATTCAAAAGGGCCGAGGTTCTCTGGTTTGGTCGCATTGGAGGTGCCGATCTGGGTGGGCTTCACGGCAAGATTTGTCTTTCCCAAGCGACGGCGCGCAAGAAGTTCTTCGTCTGTCATCACAGAAGCACGAAGCAAGGTGCGTGTTAGTCTGGCGCGACCTCAGATCGGAGTGGAGTGGATATAGCAATGGTCGAGATCGGAATCGACGCTGCCGATGCAGAGGCACAACTTACAAGCAGGCGCTTCATCGCTAAGGATGAGCGGGTTGTTCTTTCTCGGCAAGGTGCGCACCATGATGAACGAATTGGATTGGGCGGGAGGTATCAATTTAGAGACTCGAAAAGACTCGGGCGATGGACGGTAGTGAGTGGGATGATGGATGGGGGATGCGACACCAAAGCGGCGGCCACGTTGCAGGCGCGTTTGTCGCCGCTCTCTTGTCTACAAATCGCGAGAAGAGAAGACGTCACCAAGACGAAAGCGCACAGGTGACAGACACGACGGTTTGGAAACCGGGCGGACAGTAGATGGGGTGTGAAGCTTGAAAGGAAATACGCGACAACCAGCCAGATGATAAAGGCAGGAATGGGGGTGTGGGAGGAGTCCAGGCGGCGCTCGGTCGATAAGCAGTAGCAGCAACAACAGCAGCAGCAGTCGCTAAAAGGTTAGGTTTCTCTAGACTCGGGAGTAGGGGAGGGAAAATAATCAAAGAATGAAAGTCGAGCGAAACAGGACGGGCGAATCGCTTCCCATCATTGCATGTTCCGCTGGTTACGTGACGGTTCCGCCCGGCTAATGTTACGGCGCTACTGCAGCATCACCGTTGAATCAACCAGTCATCCGTACCAATTGGCCCATCCTCTAACCCGAAAAGTAAGTACCAGCGCCGCCGGCTCATCCCCCGGTATCAAGAATTACAGAAAACGCCCACTACGTATCGATGCCTTGGCGCCTGAGCTAGCGCGGTTGTCCCCGTGACGCGCTTCTCTTGTTTTGGTTTGTTGGGCCTCACCTTAGTTTGTCGCGGGGGTTTTCGACTCGTCATCGAGCCACGGGATACATGGATGATTATAACACATTCGAATTTAGAGAGTTCTCCCGTTGAAAAAGAAGAAGGGTATAAGAACCAAAGAAAAGCTCTAGATAGCAAAATCCCTTGCCAGAAGTTGCCAGAAGTTCGGACATGGGGGTATGCATAAGGACATGCACCGAGCCAGGGCTGACACTTCGCTAAATTCCCTACCGTCTGGGGGAACTGACAGTACTCCGTATATTCGCTTTGTACTGGCTTCGCGCGAAATTCGTTCTTATCAGTCAAGCAGACCAGATTTAGGACAGTCCACGAGCCATGCGCACCATGAATAATAGCACTGTAAGAGACTCTTGTAACGGCTTCGAATGATGGCTAATCTACTTGCTTCCCTTCGGAAACTTAGGACTCTTTTAGCAGCAGGCAATATCTTTCTTACATTTGCAATGCTCAGCGCTTCATCCTCGATACAGACCTTGGTCCGCTCTTCCAGAACAATGCCGCATTCGGACATAGAACTCGCAGACCTGCTCGGGAAACATGGAACCTCGGCAACGGGGACTGTCAAAACACTGAAACTTGGATTGGTATATCCTCAGGGTAGAAAAGCTCGATTGTCTCTGAGTCAACTAATGACCCTCGGATGTTGGACTGACTGTATGAAGAGCGATTAGTGCGAGTACATGAAGTCTCCTAGGCTTCAAGTATCTCAGAGAATGTCTTCCCTCGAAATTAGATACCTCCAATAGTCTGCACAGTATGTAGCTCTTGATAAGAGCACCTTGGCACCTGGCAATCACGATCTTGGAACGGTCCTTCTGGCCCCTAGCGCGGCGTGAGATGATGACCATAGTGGCATGGACTCATGATACTAAGTAGAGAAGTCGACACCCAGAGTTGACATATACACCATTCTATAAATATGGACTAGGATTTCTGGTACATATTATGAGAAGTCCAAGGGTATATTTAGTTTGAGACTAAAGGAGCACCAGTGTTGATCGGCTCGAAAAGGAGCCATGTACTGTGCTAGGTACTGGCACTGTTACTGTACACTCACCCCACACTGAAGAGCTACACAGTGAGAAGAAACACAGTAAGCGCTTCCACCATGAAGCGGATAAGATCCAACAGCACCCCTTGTCCAAGCTTGGTTGCTGATTTTGACAGAGGTTTCATAGTGCGAGTAATGTTTGGCTAGGAATGTCTCATCTGGAGTCCTGGAACCTCGACTAAGACCGGGCAATCCTCATGTTGAAGGCCTGGCAAGAAAAAGGACTGATCACCTTCGAGGTACAATTTGGTAAACAGCCACCTTCTCAAGCAGTCGTCTTCTCTCGTATGAGGTCGACTACTGCGTGGCCAGCACTTTCATGACTCGGAATCGATCAATCAGGTAGGTACAGTACACACTGCCAGTGCTAGTGATGGTGATGAGTCTATGAGTCTGGCCCATCCGAGATAACTGTAGTACACATAAGTTAAATTTCTCCCCCTCCTGTAAGGCCATCCATTAATAGCCATGATTGTCCACCGCCTTTTCCTTCCCCCCACTTGGCCTTTAGTAGTTCAATTGGCCTTCCACTCCAAAACATCCCAAAACAATTCTCTCCTCCAGCAATTCCTGGCCTCATTTTAATCTCGGTGAGTGACCCTACTTGAAATCTCTTCGATTCCTGATCTTGAATTGGTCCTTGGGCTAATAAAGAAAATCGCCATCTGTGAGGCGAGCATCTTCCCCAGCAATTTACTTCTGGACACATTCTCCCATCCGCTATCCAAATACCCCACCAGAGCCACCAAAACAACCAAGTCAACAACACCATCACCACCATGCCTGAACACGAAGACGATCTCACTGCCACCAAGACCGAGGGCTTCAAGGTCGGCGAGAAGAAGACCATCAACGAATATGCTGAGCTTGGTATGTGTGATCATTTGTTCTTGATGTGTCCCTCTTCCTCCCCCTTTTGTTGTCACAAGCATTCCGCCCCCTCCTCTTCTTTCCTCTACTTCTGCCTCGTGGCCATTGACGCCGGCTTCCCCTCCCCCTTGCTTGATTACCCCATGCAAAAGACAAACCTGGCCGCATCGCGACTTCTATAGGCTTCTCCACAACATCAAAGCCATCAATGGTCTCTATCCCCTACTAACCATCCCTCCCTCCTTTACCATAGATAAGGATGACGAGGCCTTGAACCGGTGGAAGGCCTCGCTCGGCCTCAACTCCGGCACCCCGATTGGCGACCCCAGCGACCCCCGCAAGTGCATCATCAAGTCCCTGGCCCTGGAGGTCGAGGGCCGGTCCGACGTGGTGATCGACCTGTCCGCCCCCGGCGCGCTGGAGGGGCTCAAGGACCAGCCCTTCAAGATCAAGGAGGGCTCCACCTTCCACATCAAGGTCGTCTTCCAGGTGCACCACGAGGTGCTCAGCGGCCTCAAGTACCTGCAGGTCGTCAAGCGCAAGGGTGTCCGGGTCAGCAAGGATGAGGAGATGCTGGTAAGTTTTCCTCCCCCTCCTCTCCCTCCGCGCCCTAATTTCCTAATAACTCGTCACAGGGAAGCTACGCCCCCAACACCACCGACAAGCAGTTCTACGAGAAGAAGTGTAAGCCGAGCCAACTAAAACCCCCTCCCCATCATACTACTACAACCAACTAACCTTTCCATGAAACAGTCGCCGCCGAAGAAGCCCCCTCGGGAATGCTGTACCGTGGCCACTACAACGCCATCTCCAAGTTCATCGACGACGACGACCACACTCACCTCCAGTTCGAGTGGTCGTTCGACATCGCCAAGGACTGGTAGATCATCTTCGTTTTTGTTTTTCCTCCTTGTCTGTGTTCTCTTTTCCTATGAAACCACGATCAAAGATCCACCCCATCCTTTTTTTTGTCCCATGGGGCCAGCATAACTATTTCTTGCCAGTATTTACAAGCGTTGGGACGCATTTGTTCGCACACATCATCTGAGTGAAACCTATCCGATTTTCCATATATATATATTCTACTTTTCATCTAGAATCTCTCTTGTTTTTTTGATGGGAGGTTGGGACTTAGTGGACTATACTATACTACAACTATATATATATATCTGCATATATGAGTTGCATGCGAACCTTCCGTTGGTAATAGTGTGGAGATCCTATGGCCCACCTTACCCCCCCGGTCTCCGTCTAGCTCCATTTGCTTTATTGGACACACGCACACCTGACTTGGAAAACAACATAGTGGAAAAAGGGTTGAAGTTGGCGAGTAGTCTTGAATTGGTTTTTGAACTAGTTGAGAACTTATTCTCAAAATGTCTTACAATTTTTGTAACTAGCACTGGAACCAGTAACCTCACCAAGAGGTTTAGGCAGATCTATAGGCTATCTTTAGCCCATATATATAACTACTTGTAAAAGGTTGTGTGATGTTGCTGGTGATGACCCACGTCATTTGTAGTATGTAGCAGTATCTTGTCAGTTTTAAGACTGGCTTCCCAACTGTTGATAGAACTGTTCGCAACCCTCACCTCTGAGGCCCTCTTCTTTCCAGTATCAACTCATCTAATATCTCTTAAAATATCTCTTACATGACAGCACCTGACAGCGGTCTATAAATGCTTGAATATTTACCCAACTTCCCACCCCTGAGAAATCATAAATGCACAGAAAGGAGATAAGGGAGTGGGGGACAACCCAGAATAGATATATGTTAGAAGAAGAAAGTAAGAAAAAAAAGGAAGCAAAATGTTCTTAGACTAGACAAAACCAAGCAACATCTCACCACAAAAACACACGACAAAACAAAGGGGGGTATCATCACAGAAAGTAATCAATCACGGGGCTCTGGCCGTCCTTATTCTGCTGCGCCTGCTGCTCGCCGCGATGAATATCGTTCTCGGGCGCGGCGTCGAAGATGTTGAAGTAGCGCTCGCCGGTATCGCTGACCTCGAGCACGCTGGCCAGGTTGCCGCAGCGGTAGCAGTAGTTGGGGGCGCTCCAGACGGTGCTGAGGCGGTCGTCGTAGAGCACCTGGTACCCCTCCTGGCAGAGCTGGTGGGCGCGCAGGATGTGGGACATGCTGTTGACCTCGAGGAACTTGCGCACGACCTGGGCGCCGAAGGTGTAGCCGGCGCCGCGCGGGGAGAGGGAGAACTCGTCGCGCTCGGTGTCCGGGTCGGACCAGACGAGGTCGGCCATGGGCCCCTCGTGGGGGATCTCGCGGAAGCGGTCGATGATCTTGATCTGGTCGATCGAGTGGATCGAGGGCGACAGCCCGCCGTGCACGCAGAAGATCTGGTCGTTGATCACCACGCTCAGCGTCAGGAAGTCGAACATGTCCGTGAAGTAGTGCCACACGTTCGCGTTGCCGTACTTGCGCGCGCACTCCGTGTAGAACCCGTACGACTGCGTCACCCCCCGCGACTCGTGGTTGCCCCGGATCAGGTGCACGCGCTGCGGGTACCGCAGCTTCAGGCACACTAGCAGCGAGATCGTTTCCACGCTGAAGAGGCCCCGGTCGACGTAGTCGCCTAGAGTGAAAGGGGGGCGAAGTCAGCTTGCCATTCGAGTTGTTTCAAACGTTCACCGCCGCACTGCAGCGAATCCCTCTCTTTGCATCAGGCCTTCATCATCCCCTAACCCCGTTGTCTTCTCTTCCCCCACGAACTCCTCCGCGGGGAAAAGGGAAAAAAGGAAAACCCACCTAAAAACAAATAATTCGTATTCGGACAGAACCCGCCGATCTTGAAAATCTCAATCATATCAAAAAACTGTCCGTGGATGTCTCCGACGACCGTCACCGGAGCCGCAATGTGCACAACATTGCTCTCCTTCATCAACAACTCCTTCGCTTTGGCGCATATTGCCTCGATAACGGAGTCTGCCAGTAACTCTTTGCGATAGAGTCTCTCGATGCACTCATCCAGATCGATACTCGCTACGAACACATAGATAAAAAAAAGATGAGTATGATATTCAGTTTAGAGGGGACAAAGGCGAAATTGCCTCGGCACGGGAGGGTTTTGGGTGTGGCGGCGTAGCGCAAGAAGCGCAGCAGCGGGGAAGACTTACCCGGTAAACCAGGCATTTTTGGGAGCAGGTGACCCGTGGAGGTCGGGTTCCCGTTTCTGATGGTGGGAGCTTTTCTCTTTTGTCTATCTGATTATACAGCCAAGGTGAGGCGAGGCCGGGGTCTTTTGTTTTGAGAAAGTAAAGTGGTTGGGAAGGGAGGGCTGAGGCGGATGTGGTCGTTTCGCGTCCGTCTCTCGAAGATTAGGTGTAAACGGATGGTCGTTTCGGGCGATCAGTTCTCAGTGACGGTCACAGAAGAAAAGACGCATAGACTGTGATATAGGTAGGTCGATCGAAGAAGGGATGTGTTGAATTTGGAGGGAGGTTCCTGCAGTAGCTCGCATCGTGGCCGACAGCTGAGTCTACTGGAAGAGCAGCAGGGACGGAGCGCGCGCGGGTCACAACCTGGCGAGCGACTCGGAGTCTTGGACGCGGGTAGGCGGTAAAATTGGCAGGGATGTGCGATCAGCTCACTCGCAGCTGGCTTCAGCCATAGCCAGACGGATCCCAGGAAGTTGAAAGCGAATGGTCCGATGTTTGAGGCGTGATCTCTTGAGACCGTCTCAGCCTCGCTGTGAGGGAGGATTCACATCTTCCGCCGTTCTGCCACAGGACACCGCCTGACTTGTTGTCGTTGTATTTCCCGCCAGTTGACTAAAATCAGCGTGGTTTGTTCGGCTATCGCAATTGTGTTGTGCTTCGTGGGACAAGAGGGAAAACGAATGTCAGAGTGGAAAGCAAGGTTTGAATGGTATTTACATGTTCACAAAAGTAAGCTCTATCACTACACGAGAAAGTGAACCGGCCATCACCGTTTCAAGAGTCCTGTCGTCTGCGCCCGGTCTTCAGAATCGGTCTCGTCCTCTTCCTCTTCCGATTCGTCCTCTCCAGTCTCTTCTTCTTCCGTCTCCTCCTCATCGGTCTCATACTCAGAGTCAGTTACCTCCTCTTCTGACTCCGTTTCTTCCTCACTCTCAGACTCCGGCTCCTCTAGCCACTCGTCCAACGTCTTGCCTTTCGAAGATGCCCCTCCTGGACGACCGAGCTGTGCCTTCTTGGAAGACGAGGCGCTCTGCTCATGCTCCTTGAGAGCCTGATCAAGTCGCTCGCCTGCCGTCATCGATGCCCGTCCGGTGGGGTCTGGCTTGACCTCTGATTCCCGAAGGCGCGGGTCGGGCTCTTGCCCGGCTCCGACCCAGTCAGGAAGGTTCTCATAACCCTTGAGTCCGAGCATGCCCGCGTCCGGCCCGATCACAAGGGTCGAGGAGCCTATCAAGAGATCCTTACGCGTCTCGGACGGGCTGGGGGCATGGGGAACAGGTTTGGGTGCGAGAAGAAGTAGGTTGGCCAACTGCGTCATCGAAGGAGACGCAAGGAGAGCCTTGTAAAGTCGTGCTCGGTCGCGAAGATCGTAGGAGGAGTCGTATCGGGCCAGAAGAAGGATATACCGCCAAAGCAAGGCTATCTGGTCCTCCTCGGGCTCACTCTTGTGCTCTTCCTGGCCATTGGTTTCAGGCTCTTGCTCATTCGGAGTGTCGGCCCATTCATTGATGATTGCCTCCTCCGTTTTAGCTGGTGGTTGCGTTTGTGGCTCTGGCTCTTCCTTAGGTGGGTTCCGTAGCAGATGATGGAGATAGACCTTTGCGCCGAGAAGGACAATCTGCTGCTTCACGGCCTCGGCCTCGTTGGCGAAGTCCTGAACCAGGATTCGCAGGACATCGGGAGCAATATTTCTTTCGAGTTCGGCACCGGCAAATTCCCCGACAAGCCACACAATCGTAGCTCTTGCATCGGGATTGCTTGTCAGTCCCAGATGCTTTACAAGCTGAATGACCGTCTTTTCGTGCGAAGGAGGGTCTTGCTGGATGAGATGACGAATGACGGTCAATGACTCCGCTACCAGATTGTCATCCTGGCTCGTGATCTGGCTGAGCAAGACTCGCAGGCAGTGATTTGCAGCGCTGGTATCAGCTTGCGCACAACGTCCTATCGCGCGTACACTTTCTCGGACCATCTCCGGGTTCGTGCTTTGCGAGAAATGCTGGAGCTCGCTCAGGATCACATTCTTTAGATGTTGTCCACAGTGGGGAAATATTATCGTGAGCACTTCGAGCTTCAGACGCCATATGTGAGGCGGATCGATGGCATGAACCAAGAAATGCGTGGCATACTTCGTGAATGGCTTGGGATGTCTCAAAGCCACGACCACGATATTGTAGAGCGCAACATGCTGCACATCTTGGGGGCTTCTGAGCAGAGCGATGAGCGGACCAACAGCAGCTTGAAGGTACTCGGGCGTGCCGAGATGAAGGAAACAGCGGACAACACTAACGATCACCGCCGAGTTACGATTCTGCAACAGCAACAGACAAGCGCGCAGGAAAAGTTCCAAGTCCGGATCCAAGACCGGTACCTCATCCAGATCGGCCTCGTTCTCGTCCGTCACCTCGTTGCCATTGTCGTCATCTTCGTAGAATCCTTTGGTTTCTGTCGCGCGCTTGACTTTCTTGGTTTTGCGAGGAAAGCACTGCCGGGCGTAGAAAGTTAGAAGGCGCAGCGTTGCAAGCTGGCTCCACTCATCCATATCAACCAGCTTCTTGACAAGGGTCCGGTAGTGCTTGTGGATCAGGTCAATCCGGTCGGGGCAAACCTCCAGGAACGCAGCCACAGCGGGCCCCAGGACAAAGTACTGGGAGTCCCCGAGCAACGTTGTGATATAACCAACCAACTGCGGCAGGGAGTTTGGATCCAGACGATAACACTTCGGAATGGCCAATGCCGCGGCCTTGCGCACATGCGGGCTCATATCCCCGCATCCCCTCTTGATAGCAAGGGATACAATCTGACTGATGACCGGGACTCTGATCCCAGCCATTGTACGAAGCGCCATGGCGCGCGCATGCGGATTCTGGTCTGTAAGCGACTTCTGGATGGCGTTGATGGACAGCAGCGCAAGGTCCGGTTCCGTCTCCGCATGGTGGACCAGGTAGATGTAGACCAGCTTCTTAACCTCAAAGTTGGCGCTTGCTACATTTTTGACAACCGCGGAGAAGAAAGGCAGTGATGGCTCGGCTCGGTACATCAACTTGAGTGCTCACAAAGAACAGGGTTAGTCATTTATTTCGGTGATTGCGGCTGGTGGGGAGGGTCTGGTCCGTACTGTGATCACCCGTCGCATGCCATCGAGGACTTCGCGGTCACTCCGACTATCCAATAGTTTCTTGATATGCGAGGCCGTCAGGTTGCGGGGAGATACCCCCGTGCCGGGGCCTCTATTCAAAGCTGCGGACTGCGCTGCTTCGAGGGTGAGCTCGCGGGCTGTTTGACACAACATTCCGGTCAGTCAGTCTACTTAGGCAGCGAGGACAATTGGCGGAATGACAGTCGGGCGGACAGTACCTGTTTCCAGCATGGACGAGATCCGTGAAATGGTCTCCATTTTTGCCTCCGAAGCCCGTCACGGGAAGGCGATAATAGACGAAGCTTTTTTGGAAGGGGACACGCTCCGTGACGCAGAGCTAGAGAGAAGTTGGGTGCTCGGTGATTCTCTGGCGGGCAAGCCGAAATGACGATTTGAGGTAACGTGCTTGGGCTAAGTAACTTAGTTATCGATTGGGTGGATCCACCCTTCAAGCTTTCCCGCGCACGTACAGTAGGTCAGTAACAACTACTCTGTACTCCGTACCTCATTCCGGTCTTTATCCCCTCTCTCTACTCCGTACATTAACGTCCCAGCTCGACGTCTATCGGTGTCTGACTCACCAATTGCCAAAGTGATATGGCAGTCAAAACAGCCTCTTCAGCTCGAAGGTGCTAGCAAAGCGGGACAAAGCCTTCGTCCAAGTGGCTGCACTTACAGAGCAGTCGGCCCAGCCATGGGCTCAACCAGACAGGTATATTCTACCGGCTCTACTCCCGACTTCCTGCAATCAGTTTTACAACATGACTCTATCTCAACAACCCTGATTGTATGCTCAACCAGGGATCAATTTCTGACCCGATTGCTCGCTGCTACTCATCCAACCAGGGGAGAAGTCGCTGGGCGCCATCACATCTACGGCAAAACCATCGGACTATTGTCTAGATCCAGCCGGGTTAGAGTATTATTCTGCCCAACTCTGGAGAATCTACGCGCTTGCTTGTCGGTAGTAGGGTCCCAACGTATCCCTCAGGATGAAAAGGAATCACACGAGCAGACCGAAGCACGGCCTCTATTGGCGGTCCTTGATTCCCTATCTCTCCATGCCCCAACCACGGAATTCTCCGCGCAAGGCCTGTCCAGAACCTTTGCAGCACTCGCAGAAACCTCCTTCAGAGCAGATATGGACCTTGTGCTCTGCGAATGCCAAGACTCAACGAACCACGAAGTCTCACCGTGGAATGCACAGGTGCCCATGCTGAATAGTACTGTGCGTGTCTCAGAGGAAACCGCCCTCTTTCGACGAACTGTACCCGTGAAACGAGTCGCAGAACGTTGGTTCGAGTTCATTGAGAAAGACTATGCCATTGCAGGCACCGTGGATGATGCACGGGCTAATGCTCAAAAACACACTGAGATAGAAGAGGACAGAGATTTTCAATAATACCCAGTAATGAAAGACTCCCACAATGCAATATTTGAATCATACGGGTATCCTAGAACCAATCCATAAACTCCCGAAATCGCGCCCCTGACAGAATTGCCTCAGATCATAAACATTTTTCCATATCAGTGATGTAAAGTTTGATATGCGACTCCAGCTTCAGGTATTCGTCATGAGCGCCTTGGATCTCGCTTTCAATGTTCTCTTTGAGATCGGCCATCTAGATAACGGTCAGTTAAGCACGGTGACAGTTAGAGGTGATGACTGACCTTCTTTTCGGTCTGTTCAATGCGGATTCTCCGACGCTCCATGTCGCGCTGTTTGTCTGCTCGCTCCTCGCGAAGTTGTTTCTGGATTTCCCGCAGCTCCTCCATGCGGGCCTGGGCTGCCTCGGCCTTTTCTTGCGCGTTCTTCCGCAGAGCCTCGATTCTCTCGTTCCACCGCGTCAACTGTCGCTGCAGTAGTTTCTCTGTCTGCTCCACTTCCCTTACATTGTTACCTCTTTCAGAAATAGCTTCTTTGTTTCTAGAAGCTCTGGACTCTTCCTCCTCCTCTTTCTGAAGCTCAACGGATATATCCTCCAGGAGCTTCACACATGCCTGTACATCATTGCTGACAACAGTGAACGTATCCGACGAGGTTTGCAGAGCTCTTGCCCGCTTCTCCATGGCGTCAATCTGCGCTTTCTCACGATACAAACTCTCAGAGAGTTCAGCTAGGGACGACTGAAGCGAGGCGGGACTGTCCATCACGTAAGGTCGTAGTTTCTCGACCTCCTGCCGGGTGCGCACCACCCTTTCTGTCTTCTCTTCGAGCTGTGCCTGTCGTCTGGCCTTGTCCGCCTTGACACGCTCCAGTGTCTCCGCAACTCGCTCCTGGTTCCGTCTCAATTCGAGGAGCCGTGCTTTCAATTCATCGTTCCTCCGGACTTTCTCCTTGACCTGCGCCTCGTTGGCTTTCAGAGTCCGGCGCATCTCCTCAAGACGCTGTTCCATCTCCTGATTCTCGCCGTAGAGGGTATCGATGCGTGCTTTCGTCTTCTCCGCCTTGTTGAAATGCTCATCGATCACGGGGGTTTGCGACTCGCGGAAGCGCACGAAATTGATGAGATAGGAAAAGATCTTGACGAGACGGTCGTGGGTCGGCTTGGTCAGGTCGGTAAAAGTAAAATCGTTGACACCGCACTGGTTGGCAGTCACAACAGTCAGTCAGAAGTCACAACCGGGAGGGGGAGGGGGCAAGATCGGTACCTCCATCATCAACCGCCGCAGACCGGTGAAAAATCCCATCAAGTTGCGTGTATCCGTGGGCACGATATCCGGATAGTCGCCACAAACATCATCTGCCGCGGCGCGCATTGCTGGTTCCACCGTTTCGCGGGTGTTGTTCATCAGGAGTTCCGCAAACCACTCGAAGACCATCTGAATCTGCTGCGGGTTCGGTTTGATCAGGTCGGCGGCGGTGAAGGGTATGCCGATGTCGTTGATACATCCTGCAATCTCTTTGTCTGGCTACTGAGAGTGTCAGGGCACGAATTCACTAGACGGGGTGGGCGGATTTGTGATATGCACTCACCAGTCGCATCAGAGCATCGTTTTCATCTTCTTTCTTGCGGCCGCCTCTGTTGTGGTGCTGCTGGGAGCCGTGGAACTGTTGACTCATTCGATGACCGTAAGACATGATGCAGAAGAACCCTCTCCACGAGGCGACGCCTAAGTTATTCGTCGGAGAAGATGTGATGCAAACGTGGTTGTCGTGTTTCGGCTGAATGTTATGATTGATTGTTTACAGTGAAGGGCCTCGCATGGCAACCGGAAGCGGACTAGCGCACCAGAAGAGGGGCAGTATATACAAACGATGCAAACTTACTCCACGCTTCCCTTTTTCGATGACTCTGCGGCGAAGCGACCATGGGACAATAATTGTTACGGATAATTGCTGCACGACAGCTTCCTACGGACTTTTCAATCCATCATTCCTCCAGAGCTGTTCAGCGCATCATCAGTCATCATGGCAGCTGCCACTTCCACCTCGGCGAAGCCGTTCGAGTAAGTAGTCAACCCTGACGACGCCATGGGAAGCCCATGCGGCCTTCGAAGCTGCTAACAGTCGCCAGCATCGTCGCGACGTACAATGAGCTGCTCCGCTCCGATCCAGATCTGACCATGCCAATCGCCGCTATCGAGGCCTTGGTGCTACTCCTCACACACTCCCCCTCCTCGACGATATCAGAGACGCTCGATCTCCTGGAGAAATCCACCGCACACTTAAAACAGTCGATCCCGAACCCCATCGGCCTCTCCGCTGGAACCGATCTTTTCCAGCGATACCTGATCACTACGCTACAGAGACCGGGCCAGCTCGGACCCGCCGGAGACTTCAATGCCATCAGGGCGCACCTGCTGTCCAACGGCCGGCTGTTCATCAGACGTGCGAAGGAAAGCCGAGACAAGATTGCGGCGTTCGGAAGAGGCTTCGTGCGGGACGGAAGCACGGTCCTGACGAACGGTGGCTCCAGAGTCGTGGCCTCGCTGCTACAGCAGGCTGCCGGTGAGAAGGGCGGCCCGTCCGCCGTTCGATTCCGGGTGATCTACGTGCTGTCCCCGGCCAAGGGCGATGTCGAGGGCTCGTCGGCGGAGCCCGAGGGCATGGAGACAGTCCGCGCGCTGCGTGAGAAGGGTGTCCCCGTGGCCACGATCCCGGAGTCCGCCGTCGCGTACTCGCTTGGCAAGGCCGACGTGGTCATTGTCGGTGCGGAGGGTGTCGTGGAGAACGGCGGAATCGTGTCGAGAATGGGCACCTACCAGATCGGTCTGCTGGCCAAGGCCATGGGCAAGCCTTTCTACGTCGTGGCGGAGAGCCACAAGTTCGTCCGTCTCTACCCGCTTGGACAGTACGACCTGCCCATTGAGCAGCGCGTGATCGACTTCAAGACCGAAGAAGATGTCGCCGACGAAGCCACGCAGCAGCAGCAGCAACAAGCACAGCCCACACCCAACGTCAAGTCGCCGGACAGCTCGGACGTGGTTGATTACACGCCTCCCCATCTGATATCCGCACTGATCACAGACAGCGGCGTCTTGACGCCAAGTGCGGTGAGTGAGGAGTTGATTAAGATCTGGTTCTAGTTTATGCTTCCCGTGCCCGATCAAGAGAGTTGCGGCTTGTGGTATCAGTTGAATGAAGCGGATTTTGGCGTTCTAAGGTCATGATATATCCCAACGCTCAAGGCGTTTGTCGGCTTGGAAAGATGGTGTGTCTCGTTGTTTCTAATCAGACAAAAAGTACAATAGATTTGTGACTACATTGTATTGTGTGTCTTTCTTCTGTAACATGATCTGGACGTGCGAAGTTCTTATCATCCAGTCAGCCGCTCGCCTGGTATCAGAAGCTGCCATCATATCACCCCTCATCCCATGGTGACCCTTTTAGACTGAGTTGATGGTCTTGTTCGAGCAATGACACCCCACGAGCTTGCAAGACAACAATATGACGAGCACTCGGCTCGATGCTAAGGACAAAGAGCACATAAACCCACTGTGGATACTGCTACATCCCAATCTGAACTATCATCACCAATTAGCATACCATACGTACTACGGCACGTGTATCTGAATCTCGTCTTGTTCACTATAATAGCACGGATAGTCCTCTATACATATTAACAGTGGTAACTGGAGGGGTCTTCCATAGTCTTGCGTGCTATGCTACTATTTAGTCTTACAACCCACAAATCAAACCTCAGATCAAACCATCTTCATCATCCTCGTCTGATCCCGTTGGGAAACCTCTGTCCCATCATCCAACCTACAACAGTACAAAACACACCAACCCTCTCTCGAGTCCCCAGAGTCCACCGAGGTTACCCAGCCCTTCTTCCATCTCATCCCAACCAGCCCCAAAGAGTGAAAGCCAAACACCCACAGACCCAGAGCACTACAAACAGCACAACCACCCACCAACCCCCAGCAAAGCCCAAATCCAAACCTATACTGTAGCTAGCCATCCTGCACCCCCACTCACAATCCGGTATCCACTGCCCAACTTTCTCCCCGTCGCACACAACCCCTCAAAACAACAATCCCATTGTCCAGTTATCCCGTAGCCCAATTCCAAACCAGCCCATTGATATTCCCGTATCCGCAGCCTGAGACCACGACCGACATAGAAGGAAGAACGAAGAGGGGGGGTCGCAAAGATAAGACTTCTTCCACCCTCCCCGCCTTCAAGGCAACAAAGAGGTTGAACAAACCGAAGCCCTGCCCCTCATTCCAGGCCGGAATTTACCTTCCCCCTCCCCCCTCTCTTTTTCGCGCGCGGTTATTGATGTAGATGTTTATGGCTGCCTGCATGTGTGTGTTGCGGAGCATGGCAGATGTAACCGGTACAAAGTGAGAGTTAGTCGCAATTTCTTGTTGTTCATTTAAGAATTCTGAATAGCGCTGCGTGGGCGAGGTTGGGAAACGGTATGTATGTATACGGGGTCATTAGGTAGATCGGTTGTAGCGGGAGTTTGATATTTGGGTATAGCCTGGAGGTGGGGGCAGTGGGGTTTGGTATCCGTTGCGAATGGGTGGGAATTTGGGGTTGAGTTTTGATAGTAGTGAGGCTGTTACAATATTAGATTGGTCCTTTTGCAGAGGATGTGAGGTGGTTTACGGAAAATGGGAATTCTGGCACTGTGAGGTACCATATACCTTCTAGTGGTGGTTATCGGGGATTCGGGCGTTGACGGTTACATGGTGTATGTCTCCGTACATGAATTCGAGATTAAGACCTGACACTCGAATGTGCCCTTTGGGGGCGATAATCTGGTTTTGATATGGATGGGAACTACGTTGGAAGAGAAGGGGGTTGTTGACCTATTGACCAGCAGGCAGGGTGTTCATAAAGGATGTAGTCGAGATGGACATACGGGAGACCTCATTTGCTGGTTGACCTGATCCAACAAGCCACCTCCATCTTTCAGCTGTAAAATCTACTCCCTTGGGTAAAATATACACCACAACCATAAGCTCCCATGACCCTCACAGGCTTTTGAATTGGCACAGTATAATAGCCTGTGCAGTGAACCGTATCTGGTCCACGTAGCTGCTCATCTTTCGGCTGGATTGACGGTCCACATATCAGACAGACAATGCGTCAGCAGATTCATATGAACTTGCTACCAGAGTTAAGGATAGGCGACCCAATAGCGGGAATGCTTCCTGACTAACCACGAGATTAAGGTGCAAGTTGTTGATGGCGTAGCTGCCCTTATCAGATCTTGACGGACTAAGTACTGTACCATCAAGTATGAGTGGGAGCCTGGAGGCGAAGATTGGATCCTCCAACCCCTCATTCCTCGGTGGAGACCAATCAGATGGCCAACATGAGGCCAGAGAGCTGCCTGAAGCTGGAGGGCTGTGCCTGTCAATGACCATGCTTGGTGGCAGTTGGTAAGAGCCTTTGCCTGGGATACTACGCCTCCAACCGGTCGAAGCTGGCAAGGGCTTGTTCAACGTCAGCAGATGTATGTACCCAATGAGTTCAGATGTCAACCGCACCGATTGTGACTACTACTATATACATATAGTGGACCGGTGGAAAAAGCGCCCGGTCAGAAGAAGTCGGATATTGCATGGCCACATCATATGATTGCAGCTATGAGATCACCAGTACCTACCGACAGTGCTGTATGAGCACCGGCTCGCTCCAGTTGCAGCTACTGTACATACATATACAGTACTAAGCAAAACGGTAAGGTAGGCAATCTTCTAGAACATGGATTTAAATCTCCACCAGTGGTTCGTATTGAATCGCAACAATAGCGGACGGGGCAAACACGTGCGTGGCTCATTAAACCATGGGCGAAGGCCCCCATCCTCGAACCGTGGTTTGGTTCTCTATTTCTGTCCCGCCTACTGTTCCTGCCTCCGAGGGTTCCGAAGTTGATCCAGAGTACATACTGAGTAACATGTAAACTCGATTCATTATATCCAGCCAAGTCACCAATCATCAATGTGACTGTCGGCCTACAGTGAGATACTTACACTTACATGACATATGACTTACACCTTTACCTCGATCGAAAAAGCAAACCGGACTTGTCCCGTAGCTGAGCCAGTATCTCCGAGGCTTACCGCATTTACTGCAAGTAATAACCTTCCATCCTATTGCGAACGAGTTCAATAACAGCTTGAGACAGGTTTTGAATCTCTATTTTACCACTCCAATAAAGACTGCTTTTATTTTAGGAATTCCAAACTCCACTTGAGTCCTCAACTAAGCACCACCCAACAATAATTGCGCACCTGGCCAGTCCATTCATCCAAGCCCGCCGCCGCCGCCGCCGCCCACCAGCCACCATCGAATACTTCGTTGTTGCCTATGAGTACAATTTCGGACCCAGCTTCTCATCAAAACCGTTCCAGTCCGAGTCACAGCATAGATGACTCTCCACCTGAGATAACTCAATTAGATCAAGCCAATTTACTATTCTGGCAAAAGCAAACCTATTTCCCACTGAAGACTCATTAGCGCATCCCCCCAGAAAGAGAAAAGAGGAAGCCACCGCCCCCATTGTCATCATTGTTCAAAATCAATCCACCATTGTCTATCATTGTCCCCGTCAACATCGCCAGAAACCTGCTGCGTGTACAGTCAGACAAATGGGTGCAGCGTCAATGGCAACAGCCAGCACCAGCACCAGCACCAGCACCAGCACCAGCACCAGCACCAGCACCAGCACCAGCACCAGCACCAGCACCAGCACATCCTTCCGACCAGAAGAACCAAGAGACGAAACCCGATGGCTAGTGCAAGGGTCGTCCTCTTCTTTCGGGTTGAGCTCCCATCCTGGCAACGCCACTGCTGCCACTGTTACTGCTACTGCTAGTGAAAAGAACGACACGCACGACTCGTGGTCCATAAAACGGTTCCTCAGCCGCCACGTGAGTCGTCGGTATCGGGTTCTGGAAGGGGAGCCGAATAGATTGCGGAAGCGATGTACCCGATAGCTTCGAATTGCAGTGATGTATTTTGAGAGGCCCGGGGCATCTCCATGTAGACTTTGGGTCATTTAGATCCGGAGTTTCTACTGGCTTTGACCGGGATTTTCTTTTTCCTGCGCACTTGGGAAGGGGGGTCAAGTTCGTTTTGATTGGAACATTTTGCGATCTCTGCGCATCTTCAGTAACCACTTTGCTGGTGCCAACAGTGTTGATTCATGTCGGTTGAGGGTGGTTTGGATATCGAATTGGGTCAAGTAGTTGACTGCCGCAAATGATGTTGACGTCATTGGTTAGGGTTATCCCCGAGGAGGGGAGTTATCTTATCTATTATTTAGTAGGTAGGCGTGAGGTGGAGTGGCCCTTTGGCTTGGGTTGTCTCGACGCTGTGCGAGCTTCTTTCATTCTGTGTGCCTCCACGTCTTGGGAGAGAGCCCATACACAGAGTGGTGCGGACGAGGAATCCGGATCCAGCAGCGTACAAGAAGATGCCCAGCCAGTGAGTATGCATGCTGTCGGGAAAGGCGCTCGAATCCAAGACGTGGCGTCCGATGCTTGAACGGTTTTCCAAGAGCTGCTCTAATTCTGATTTTAGCGTCACGGTGGTCGATGGCGTTGGTGGGTTTCCTTATAATGAAAAGTGCAAGAATCCAGCTACACGACCGGACTAACACGCGAAGCATTCCCAGCAAGCATCTTATTGGGGCATCTTATAGTCATGGCTACAGGGCACAAGCAACTGGTAGCTACCCTTCTTATGCTGGATGCCAGCGCACCATCCAACGTGGTCCGCTACAGCCCATCCCGGCAATTTAAGCTTAGCCTGACTCTGGACGTAAACCCATTGCTAGCTACTCGTAAGGCCTGCGAACAACGAAATACAGTCTGCCATATCTAGTCCCGCACGTACCATGACCACAGACCTAACCCACAAGTATCTTTTTCAAATACTGCAATAATCAAGTAAGAGCGGGCTATTGTACAGTTCCGACCCTGTGCCGATCATCGGGCAAGTCCAGAATAGACTAGATATGTGGGGTTTGTTGGGTTGTCTGTGCCCTCCAAGACGGAGTGCACTAAGTATGAGTATAACATTTGGCGCTGATTGTGTGGAATGATCAACAGCTCACGTGGCGGGTTTGTGGCTGAGGAGGGAAAGCGAATCCCCTTGGCTTCCAACGGGGCGAGGAATGATCGACATCCTAGATATGGAATACTGTGTGCTCAGTATCAAGCTACGTGTTGTGTGTCTTTTGTAGGGTGGCTGAGTACGCAAGTGGGTTTCCTGGTTGGTAAGTCAATCAGTCCAGGCACACACATTAATGCTGGCGTGTCTTTGGTGGAGAGGTTGTTTTGTTGTTGCCTGTGTTCTGAGCCACTGTGCTGAATCGCCACAGTAGATCTCATGTGATTCCAGGGACTGTGGGGGTTGTTGATCAGCCGTTGAGGGATGGAAGATCAAAGATTTCAAAGTTGATGATGAAGGGGGGGGGGGTACACCTCTGCCCTACATTTGGGCGCATGCTTAATGATTAGCGGAGGGGAGGGAGAGGGTCCCTGCGTGGACAGGGCAAACAAACACCCCGGGCCCGATTTCCTTATTCCCTGCGAAGATCAGCCCGTTGAACTTAGGCTGATGGTGTCCTGCAGTGCTGTCGTTGAGTTGACTTTTTGGACCCTCCCCTCCTCCCCTCCTCCACTCTCCCCCCTTCTTCCCCAACAAATTCTATCATTGAAGCAAGGTATAACAGTACTGTACATTTCCCCACACGGGAAAATAAAATGACTTTGAGACCCCATATTGTAGAAGCTGGGCCCTCGTTTTCACGATGCAGTATGCACATAATTAGACACTTCTTCGCCACACGGTCCATGTACTGTACATGTACATACATCTCAACGGCATTGTCACCGCCAACCCTCCCCGCATATTGGGCTGCAGCATGAAGTCACTAACTTAGCGGCGTGTAAGCTACCTAGTCATAAGATGCTCTCCAGAGACAGATTCCACTCACCCCATGCAACGGCTGGGAGCTACTGAACCGAAGCAAAGAAGGTTGTCTGGTCTACAGGCATATACCCTTGCTGACCTCTGTAGTACAAAGCTAGTAGATCTGTGATCCAAAGCAAAAAGAGGGATGGGCAACTGCCAACACCTAAACCCATCACAGGATTTCTGCTTGTTTTTTTTTTCTGGTTTTGACTGAGAATCTCAATCGTAGAAGTGGCCCACAGTTTGGTTGTACCTAGTGATCGAAAACCAGAAGATAAAATTACTCCGCCTATTATCAACGATGATCGCGTCGGGTGCGGGTGTGACTTTTGGTTGGTGTAAAGTACAGTACTCGAGGTAGAATTTTGTTAGCGGCCGAGAGGCAACTAACTACCTAGTACTCAAGTGTACTTACTGATGTGCAATCGTCCATGATTCTCGCACAATGAATGGGTCATCTCTCATGTCGGTCTCTTTCTTATGGGTGCGTAATTTTCAAGGTGACGGATTCCATGCATGAGCCTGGGGGATAAATCAGATTGATCGCGCGCGCGCGGACTGAACCCAGCCGGGAGGGAGGGGGGGCGGCATTGCGAAAAGCTCGGATAGTGCCTTAAAGAACTGATTGATCAAAATAAAAAGCTCCGTACCATGGTCCTGGGAGACTTTCCCGCGTGTCGTTCCTGATTGCTAATTTGGTTTGGCATTTTTCCCTCCTCCTTTACCCCTTCCCTTCGGCGAACAATCCAACAATAAAATTACCCGGCCCATGAGAGGCTTTCTGTGGCGGGTGGGATAATTTCCGACTGTCTCTCCCACCACAAGCATGCAAGGTGGAAATGTGGAAATGTGGGTGAGATTAACCAGCGTGCTGTGCTGCGCTCCCGTAGTCGACAGTACAGTACACCGTCTCGGCCGGGTTGCAGCGATTCTACTCTTTTTCTGTATCTCATTCCCCTCTTGGTCCTCTCCCCTTCCGTCCGTTCCTTTCTCCCCTCTCTTACGGTGGACAAGGAAGATTAGTAAGACGGAATGTCTCACCTGTTCCTTCCTTCGGATTGGGATCTGGCCGGGTCTTTTTTTTGGCTCTGGGGAGGGGAAGGGGATGGTAATGTGGTTCAGATGCAGGAACACGGTGATCTGCTATTGATTGATTTGCATTGGCCGTGGGGGGAGGGAAAAGTTCGGAGACTGGGATCTGTTGGGAATGATGTATTGAGGGGTACCTACATACAGTGCCTTGACTTTCCTCTGACAGGAGGGGTTGTCTTATCACTTAAGGTTACTACCATTTCAATTGCTTTTGCTCGATGGTTGAGGCGGGAGTTCTAGTACCTACGAGGAAGATGGGCATGACGACTTGAAGGGTGCGCGCACAGTAATTCGCACTGGACAATCGACACTGGATAAGATCTCAGCAGAGCCTGAGGGAGGGTGGAAACGCCGCTCCGATAAGCGGATCCTTCAGGCTTACCGCTGGTCAGCCCGCGATCCGACTCGGGGACTTTTTGGCAGCAGAGTGGGCAATGAGCTACTCCATGCTCTAGGCATCAAGTGATGACGAGGTATTGAGTATAATCACGGACCGGTCGGGCGGTCGGGCGTGTAGATTTGAACAGCAGGTGGATATTGATTCCGTCACCAGTCACTATTAGAAAAAAAATGAATCTATTTCAAAGTCTCTAGGAGTTTGTTCATACCTAGCGTCATTGAAGTTTAGCCCTCGCCAAAGGATCGGTGAAGTGAATCGAGTGAGCCACTGACGCAAGTCGATGTTGGTGTTGCCGAGGACTCAATCTAGGGAAAGGTTCTAAGGATGTTAAGGAAGTTAGACGATGGACACTCCCACCTTGATCGGCACCTCATAGACCATTCTACGGAGTACAGCAAAGAGAATGCCTGGTGTTTTTGCAGGATTATACATGCAGAGAGTCTCGGAACAGTGGCTATATCTTGTCCTCTCGCAGGCTGAGGTCTGCTACAAAAATTGTGGTGTATGCTCTCGTCACGGTTCTGCACGCTTGGACCACAGCACATTCGACCTGTCAATGATACGCTGTCACCGCCGGCAGGGCGGGATATTAACGACTTTTAGCTTCTCCGTAGCAATCAGCAGCCCGAACGGCGGGAAATGAGCTCCCGCGATGAAGATGTTCTTCACAGTAGGGGCAGTATACCGAGGCAGTAGCACTGTCGGGAGAAAGTGTCATGTCCTGAACCACCTTTTGACAGAAAACCACACAACGAGGTTGTTTGCATTCAGTCAATATCCTATTTGATCTGAGAAGGTGCTTTTGTCAACTGTAAGGTCGGCAGCAAATGCATCACATCTGTTGATTCTTATGCATGCCGTCATGTCCGATTTTGACTCTGTATCGGCCGGTATTTCCTTTTTCCAGTGTTTTTATTATGGGCCTCCATTGACTCGGCAGCGAGCTAAGAGTTAGCGCCGCATTTATGGTTCAGATGTCCCCACCGTAGGAACCCAACTGCATCGTCATTTGGCCCCTCTGGACGTTCTTCTTTAGTCTTAGAACACTCTGGGGCTGCGGTTTTGTCACAGGCCCCACCAAGGAGTGGGCGGCAATGGATTTGGGTCTTTACTCGTATGAGTAAAAGTGCGCCCGTTTAGTTACCGTCTTGAGCTTTGCACCGCATCACAGCACTGGTGGTGGATGGTCGTGGTGGCCTAGTGATCATCGTGATCCTGGTGTCGATGTTGCCCAGCGCCTTAAAATCCCGCCCGGCCTGTACAAGGGAGAGGTGCCGCGCGCTCGGATGCTCATTCACCATCTGGACAAGATCGAGAAAAAGGGTTCAACGTCATTGCATGATCCAGGACCCTGGAGGGACCACGAGCGACACCCTCGAGTCTCGGTTAAGCTCGAGTCCAGAAGGGGATGGAGTAATAAGCTGCATCTGCCTTAGACTTCAGTATGACGAAGGGGTTTTGCTGAGCATATTTGGGCCTCAACTGTGGCTCGAGGTAGCTCAATGCGGTTGCCCTTATATTGTATGGGTATCTGTTGCATCACTGCTTTGCTCTGGCACACGTCTACTATGTAGATGAGTGTGAACATAGCTCCCGTTGATTTACCATGATCGGTTCCAACGGCCGAGAAAAGCGCCTTGCCCGCCGCGGCGCGGCGCCTCTCCTACAGGACTGTTGTCCAAGCCATGGCCATGAATTAAACTGCTACGTATGTACAGTACTCATAATTCATATACCTGCACGGTAGGGCCATCTAGAATTATGTTGTGCAGTAGCTAGATACTAAATAACAACTAAATCAGAAGCATAAACAATGTACAGTACGTAGTATAATGTATGTAAATTACCCATCTCTGGTTCAGCGGTTTACCTGCCTAGCTTGTCTTCCACATTCTGGATGCTGAGAGAGAGGGTGGATTAATGTGGAGTACCCGGCAGATACATGACTACTACGCACTGGGCGGTTACTCTAAGGCAGGTACCAATGAACTTCTTCCACTCCCTTTCCTCCGTCAACACCAATTTGAAGCAATAATAATGATTCGGATTGGGCCTCCCTCTGACTCTCTCGACGTAGGTGGATTCTTCTCCACAATTGAAGAGATTTTCCTTCATGATTATCTTTCCGTTTTGAGGTTTTTCTTTTTCTCTGTATTTTTCTTGTTTTCTTTTTTTTTTCTCCTACCGTGATGGTGATTTTCGTTAGTTCCCGCATGACACATTGCCCACCAGGTATGGAGCACAAGGCAGAACGGTCAGAAGGCAGACAAGGCGGTTGGAGGTGGCATCTGCATGTATGTATGTGCTGTACCCATGAGGAGGAAAAAAAAGAGAGAGAGAGAGGGAACAGATTCGGGATGATGCAGGCAAAGTCGAATCAGATCCATCCTATCGATCAATCAATCAATCAATCAATCAATCAATCGAGGGCAGGGGGGAGGGAGAAGGAGGAGAGGGCAGAGTCCAATAATACCTCGATACCATGCGACTCCATAATCTATCATGAACCAGCAGTAACTTACTGAGTAAGTACTCCATAGTCCATAGTTACAGACAGCTGTTGTGACGGCCGGCGACGGCCCCAGAGGGCGAGAAAAGTGTGTAACCAACCGAGTACTCCGTAGTTTTCCCCTGGTTCAGAAACGGGCGGCTTGTTTGTCTCGGCCCTCACAGTCCCTCGCCGACCCTCATCGACCGTCGTCCTTTTTTGGGCTGTTGTCTCTCTGTCTCTGTCTATTATTCTCTTCCCCAGTCGGGCTCAAAGCTACGGCTACTGCTATCGCTGTTGCTGCTTCTTTTTTTCTTCTTCATCTCCCCCCTTCCTCCTTCTTTCTTCTCCCCTCTTCCTCTTTTTCTCCTTCTCTCCTTTCTTTCCGACTTCCTCGCCCTTTTTTGGACTGCCTTTCTTTCCCATCGCTCTCTTTTAGGATTGCAGTCCTCCTTCCTGATCCCCTTTGGCATCTTCCCTCTAATAGCTTGGAGTGATCACGGAGGTCATTTTCCGCCACTCCATGTGGCGTGGCTCCCCCGGGTCTCACTACCAAAGTTAACTAACTCTTTACTACGTCAAAAGTCCTGCGACTTCCATACCTACTTACACCATTGCTACGAAACCGTGACTGCCATCATTTCCTCAATCCTCGCTCATCATACCTTTCCAGTCCTCCGATCTACCCGCTCGTTCTAAACCAATAGTCACATCCCTTTCACCCCCCTCTCGCTCCACCACCCCTCCCCTCTAAAGCCCCCTCAACACCCCTCCACCCCCCAGGTCTCGACTTCGTACCGCTTTACCTGTATCAAACTATCAAATCCACCGCCTGGGGCATCCTTCTTTAGGTACAGACGCTAGAACGGCCTTGTGCTCCCGGCACTTTCTCCCCCCCCATCGCTCTGAATGTCTCGGTTCGCCTCCGCTACCTGTCAATCCCAATCGTGAAATTTCGACTATTCCTCTTTATCTCCTCTTTTCCTCTTTCTAAATATTCTTATCCCCCTTCTTCCCCCATCTGCCATTTTTCCCGTCACCCGCTTTCTTTTTTGGAACTCTCCTATTCTTGCGTTAGGCTTCAGCTCCAGACTTGGCTCCGTGGTCGCGTGTCTAGTTCATTCCGTCATTCCTCATGAGTCCAGTCATCCGCTACAACTTCACCTCCGAAAACTTCACTGTCCACCTTGACTCGTGAGCGGGACGAAGTTTCAATCCATCAGACGCCATGGCGATATGGCCGTTTGGTCGTAAGAGCAAGCGGCACACGATCCAGCTCGATGCTCCTGCGGTGGCGGAGGTTCCGCCGCAGAACCCTCGCCACAGCTTCGATGGCAGCAAGCTAGGCAGAAAGCCCTCTCGCAAATCCTCGAAACGTCAGAAGAACCGACACATTACGCCTACTGAAGATTGCCCGAGTTCTCTGCACGATGTCCTTCCAGCTTCTCAGTCTAACCAGTATCCTCCGCCCATGTCCCACAGCGAGCAACCAGCTTCAATAAGAGGAGCCCGGCAACTGTCCTTTCGGCTCGGTCAGCAGCATTCCGATAGCTACACCTCTCACTCTAACACAAGCTATGACCAGCCTACCTTGACTCGATCAGGATCGCTCCTAAAGTCGAAAAGAAGCGTTAGCGGACCAGCAGTCCTGAAGAAGAAACTTAGCAAGCGCAAGGCATACGAGATTGCTAGGGAACGAGAGATCAGATTGATGGCTTCCGCACCGATTGACATCCCTCGTCGCCCATCCCCGCTCCCTAGTGAGCACTTCTCCATCGAAACCCGCAAAGGCCTCAGGGCTCCAAGTCGTCGTTCAGACCGCCACTTGTCTGACGTCAGTTTGTCAGTCCGTGACTCAGCTGAGTCGTCGTTATCCGACATCTTTGAGTCCTACACGTTCAAGGTCAACACTTTCGCAGCTTGGACACCCCGCCCAATCATTCGTTATGTGGAAGCTCCCAAGCCCCCCACTGCGAAAAGCCAGAAGTCACCCGAGACAGTGAGCAAGAAAGACAAGGTGCCAACGTTTGCTGCATCTGACGAAAATGCTCGTTCGAATAAGAAAGTAAATGACCTGGCTGATGCTCTGGACGCCGGTGCTCTACGGGAGTTATTGGAAAGAGATCGCCGGCGCAGGGAGAGAAAGCAGGCCGAGGATCAGGAGAAAATGCAACGCAAGTTGCAACAAGCCGCTGACCAGCAACAGCAGCACCCGTTGGAACAGGATACTGCCGACGTCTCCACACCAAAGCATCAGGCTGAAGCCGAAGATGCATCTACAACGCAAAGAGGCCGGCCTGGTGCTGGTAGTCGGGCTACACCGGTTTCTTTCGACGAAGGTGTCACTAGATCTGAAGACACCAAGACTTTCCTGGGTGGTACCCCCCCGTCAGGGTCATGGCTGAGAGGAGTTTCCAAAGATTCTGAGCGACAAGGCTGCGAAACTCCAGAGAGTGCTAATGTCATCGGCACTCTTGACGATAGCTCTATCCGTGGACGCAGGGTTGTCCCGCGGCGTAGCTTCGCTCCGTCCACAGAGATGGGAATGTCTCGCAGCAGTCTGACTCCCTCTCATTCACCGTCGAGGCGCGGGATTTACAGTCCGACTTCTTCGCACCTGTATGGTCTCGGTCGAGAATCAACATCGGATGTCTCAAGGACAATCGACTCGGACAGGCGTCTGTCAGACAATAGCAGCGGTCGTGTGAACACTCTGACCTCAATCTTTCGACGTGGGAGCTCACGCCTCAAGAGAAGCTACCGAGAACGTTTCCATGAACGGAGCCCCGAGCCGTCGAACCCGTCGCATGAATCCTTTTTCAAAGTTCAAACACAGTCCTCGTCCGGTCCGGCGCCGTACGTGCCGCCCAAGGCATTCCTTGGCACGGGCACGATCAAGCGCTCCCAATCGAAATTCACGGAACATTTTGGTGACGAACCTCTATCACCACCTGACTCACGCCTTCAGTCTCCTGATATACCAGAAGTGGCTGACGAGTTTGAGAGGGACCATGATACCTCTGATGTTAACATGGTTACTCAATATCCTATTCCAAGCTCTGCCTCCGACGTCCCGGATTCTCGCAACAACCATCACGACTCGTGGGGAGGCGAAAGCTGGGATGGTAACCCGGATGACGTTCCGCTATCCCAGTCTCTAGCGTCGATCGATTCCGAGGGGTCATGGATGTCAGGGCAATTCCTTCGTCGCATTTCTCAGAAAAAAACAAGTAACCCCCTTCGGACCAGTCTCAGTTCATCGAGGAACAAGCTTGAGGAGGAAGGCCACGAGAATTCCCCCAAAGGTGATGAAGTATCACTCAATGAACCGTTCGTGAGATTTGGATCTGAGCAGGATGAGCCTCCGCGGGTCGGATATGGCGCAGGTGCTCAGCGAGATAGTACCATGACCGTGGACCATACACAAGACCCAGCAGAGGAAACCTGGCATGCTCAAGTTGCAAGGCGTCCTGTGCTGGTGAATCCGGCAGTCCGTCCCAAGTCAAACGAAGGCCTTCTCAAAACCATTCTATCTGCCGATGAGGAGTTTAGCCCCATTGAAGAACACTCTGCTGAATTTGAGTTCGACACAACCGAAGACTACGATAGAGGGCGCGCCCTCTGAGCGTGTGATTTGCATTGCGTACGAGCGACATGCGTCCACCTGACCCCTTTGACCAATGAGTCATATTTTGACGGCCTTTCCCCCTCTCATGAGACAAAGAAGCACCTCATTCGCGTCGCCCAGTCTCTGTTTATCTAATTTCATGTAATATTCCCCTTCTCCCCTGCTGACCCTAGTCACTCCTTTGGCTCTTCTTTCCTTTGTCGCTCCCTTGACTTTTCTACTGCGATTCCTTCCTCCCATATTGATGGATTTCGCCTTTAGTTCTGGTGGCACTCGAAGTGGCCACGTCCGTTTTTCTTCCTTCGCTGCCCCGTCAAGCCCGGTCTTCGTCCCCGACTTGCGGGCAGGTTTTGTTCTTGCATTTGTTGATACCCCACATCAGCGAGAGTTTGAAGGAGTTTGCCTCGATCGCTGGTCAAATGCGGTTATTTGATTCTCGTGCGGATTTACGTCTTCATTAGAGGTGAAGCACTCTCCCGTTTCAGTTCAATGCACATATTGGCGTATAGAATAGCTACTGTCCTTGGTTGGTGTCAGTCACCCCACAATGGTATCTCTTTCCATTTCCAACCATGGCTATTGTTTGATGTCTGTATGAGCATTCCATCTGTCCGTAAATACTAAATTTTTTGAGTAAAGATGCATACTTTCGTAGAGCACGACCGAATAAATTTGCGTAAACTGGTATATGGGTGAAGTGATCACTATAGAGTATAGTTGATGGTCCGCCAAAGGAAGCGGGCTGCTGTTTGTTGAGCACTAAGGTAGTTAGTCAGCACGCCGCGTGCTAAGGCACAATTCAGGCACAATTCAGGCACACGCCCGGCAGCTTCTGTCCAGACCGTTCGCTATTCATAAGCGACGGAGCACGTCATCCGAATAATAATAATAATAATGCACCGGCTTTTGAAACTCCATTCTTCCAGCCCAACCCCTGCGCGTCCCGAACGGCGAACCAATTGCTTCCAACACTCATTCCATACTACACATACTATTCATACAATACTATTATATTCTAAATTGATTAGTATTTTGCAAGATGTCGACTGTCAACCTGACAAATGCCTCTAACCTGCTGCGTCTCTCCCGCGGCGTGACATCTTGGTAAGCTCCCTACCTACCTGTGAATCATCATGGATCTCTCAGCCTTCCCCCCTTTCAAATCCAAGTCCCTCCTTCCACCGCCTCCGAGAGGCTTCGACCACGGTGATTAGTCAGAGGCAGCAGCCAGTCCCTCCCTTCCTCTCATGGTGCAACGTCATTTGCGCCCACCCATAAAAACTGCGGACTGAGCCCCTCCTTTTTGGCCTCAGCCCCTCTTCAACCATTCCGAGCTAATCTCTTCTCTTCTTAACCTTCCTCCAGTCTTAAACCATCCGCTCGCCTGTCTTCTCTCTCCTCCGCTAGATTTTCTACTACTCCATCCTCCACTTTCCTGCGTTCCACCTTCGTCCAGCGCTTTCCCGCCGCGAATCCTCTGTACCGCCGCACCTTCTCTCAATCTCACTCCGCCAAATTCAACCCCACACAACTCAACATGTCTGACCACGGCAAGGTTCACCAGATCACTTCGTGAGTTTCCCCTCTCCCCCACCCGACTCAGATTCTACCTTCGGCTGCGATCGGCTGCGCATCAGTGATACTAATATTCGCCTAGCACTGCGGAGTTCAGAGAGAAGGTCACCAACTCCCAGGACGCCATTGTCCTCGACTGCTTCGCCACGTGGTGCGGTCCCTGCAAGGCCATCGCCCCCAAGGTCGCCGCTTTCAGCGAACAATACCCCCAGGCCAAGTTCTACTTGATCGACGTCGACGAGCTCTCTGAGGTCGCTGCCGAACTCGGTGTCCGCGCCATGCCCACCTTCATGCTGTTCAAGGGCGGCGAGAAGGTCAAGGACGTTGTCGGTGCCAACCCCCCCGCTCTTGAGGCCGGAATCAAGGCTCTCCTCGCATAGATTCGATCGGATTTGTGGTGAAGGATGTTCTTTTTCTAGTTTATGAAATGACAAACGTTTGAAAAGTCTATACTTTCCCGCCTGTAGGCTGCTATGGGTGTAATTGCTGAGGTTGGGTATTTTTTTTCGTGGACAGCGATAGGGAGGGACTTCCTGTGGTATCCTTGCCTTGCAAACTACTTTTTGTTCCCCGGATATCTATTATCAGTTTGACCATTGTAGTCAGAGCAATCGAGGATCGATTTTCGCCGATACGTGGTTCGACGTTTGATCCTCCTATCGTCCTTGGTCATTCGCGCTGCATGACTTGCGGAGAGCAGACAGTGCGACTCGATACAGCCATTGAGTTTCACTGAGTATTCTCGGAAGAAAAGATGTAGATAGCTACAACATAAAGGAAAACTGAAACCAAGAAGCGAACGGGGCTTCCTTGCATCCCCATGCAATGCCGCGCGCAGGTAGAGACGCAAACCCGAATCGGGAATAGTGATTCGCCTCCAGGCGGCTGCAAGTGCCAGACCTGCCTGATCTTTCTCCACCTACATACATCTGCATCATGCATCCAGGCGATCCGACGGGCTTCTGGGCTGTTGCACGTCTAACCATCGCCTTTGCAGACCTGTGATGTCAATCGCATTTCTTCCCATTCCAAGGCCTCGGCAGGGTTAAAAGATGACATCGTCGAACAAAGTATAATATCACCAAGGTCGGGCCAAGTTTTAGCACCCGTATACGTCGGCAACGACCCGCTGTGGAGGTTATAAGTATCGTCTCTGTTGCAATATGCTGCTATTGTCAGGGGATCCTGTCATTCTCTTACTCGCTCTTCTTGAGATGATCGTGCGATGGCAGGGTCTATGGCTGCAATAGGACGGCTTATATTTGAGCCAGTCCGACTGTGCACCGAATCTTTCTGTGGTCTTACGATGCGACATCCAACTGCTTGGAAATACCAATGGCCGACTATGTCCAGTGTCGAAAACGAACCGATGACCTGTGCGAAACCTAGCAGACCAACATCGGGTGGGCTTGAGTCAAGCAACACAACAAGCCACTCTGTCGATGATGCCGGATTTGAAGTCTACTGGGAAACAGATGATCAGGAGGACCCGCGCACTTTGTCGGCCGCATATAGGGCTTTCATTGTCGGGGCGGTATCCGTGTCAAGTGCCTGCGCGTAAGTATCCTATAGACATATCCACTAGTGACTCGATGGCAACGCTGATTGTCCCTGAGGATATCATATTCCACATCTTATACCCCAGGTATTCCAGGGATCAAAGAATCCTTTGAGATCTCATCGGACACCGTTGTGTTGCTCGGCTTAACTACCTATATGCTCGGTCTGGCATTCGGATGCCTTGTGTTCGCCTCGTTGTCGGAGCTGTACGGTCGTCGACCGGTGTACCTGATCACCACCCTCGCCTTCGCCTGCTCGGTGATACCCGTGGCCCTGGCTCGGAATATACATACCATTCTTGTCTGCAGAGCACTTGGAGGATTCTTCGGTAGTGCGACTATTGCGGGCGGTCCGGGTACAATCAACGACGTGACCAGCAGAAGGTACCGGGCGCTGGCTTTCAGTCTTTGGAGTCTTGGGGCGATGACTGGCCCGGTAGTTGGTACTAAGTGAAGTGCTGGGAACAGCTTCTCGGTTCCTCGCACAGAACTAACAGGAGTGCAGGTCCCATTTTCGGCGGATTTATCTACCAGTATCTTGGCTGGCGCTGGATCAACTGGATCATACTTTGCCGGGCAGGAGTATCAGATGTGGCTTTGTTCTTGTTCAAGGAGACATATGAGCCTGCGATACTGCGGGCACGAACCAGAAAGCAACAGGAGCAGACTGGGGACTTGCGATGGTGGTGTCGCTATGATAGCCCCAAAGTGGGATGGGACCTTGTGCGAAGCCATCTGGTAAGACCTATCATCATGGCCGTGTGTGAGCCCATCTGGTACGCCTTTGACCTCCAAGCTCCGTCGACGCGTGAGTGTCTGCCGAACAGTCTCACTGATCCCTTACCATCTGCGGCCCGACCAGCTTATTCTGGAACCTCTACGTCGGTGTCATATATGCTACTCTATTCCTGTGCTTCGTCGGCTACCCGATTGCCGTCCAAGAGCACCGCGGCTGGCCACCCGGCATCGCAGGACTAGGCTACTGTGGTATTGGCACCGGCGTTGTCCTCGCCGTCCTCAGCGAGCCCATCTTCATCCGCCGCATCATCGCCAGTCACCCGCGGGACCCCTGCACAGGCCGAGTCACGTCCGAGGCCTCCATCATTGCCGTCTGCCTCGGGGCCATTCTCAGCCCCATGGGTGAATTCTGGTTCTCGTGGACAGCGGTAGCAACAGGGACCACAACTCAGCCCATCAGTGCGCCCGCATACACGCACTGGATCTATCCGATCCTGGCCGGCGTCCCCTTCGGCATGGGCAACACCCTCATCTTCATCTACTCCGCCCATTACCTGGCGGGGAGCTACCCCATTTACGCCGCCTCGGCGGTGGCGGGCAACGCGATGGTTCGGTACGTCTTTGCGGGTGCGCTTCCGTTGGCGGGCCACCGGCTGTATTCGAGTTTGGGGATCGCGTGGACGGGCACGGTACTGGGACTGGTGGAGGTGGCGCTGATTCCGATCCCGTTGGTGTTCTATCGGTATGGGTGGTGGGTTCGGCGGCGCAGTGGGCTGTCGCGGGAGTTGGCGGGAGTGTAAGGAGTATGAAGCTATATAGAGGTCGCTGGATACGGCATAGGGTGTTGATGGCGTCGCATGGCTCACAAGCTGCATTTGAATCCATGGAATCAGCTAGGCCGATTGCTGGGACGAACATTCTAGAAGGGGGATCGGCCTTGCATGCACATATCCCTGCATGCATGTTGCATACATGTAAACATGCACCTAATATGACTCAAAAGGACGAATCAGGTCGCATGACGAGTTGACAAGGGGGTCGGGTCACATTTGCTTCGTTTCGTTTACTGGTTGGTCTGCAGTATCAAGCTCTTCTGCATGTTTTCAGATTTCATCCGGAAACTTACTCACTCCCCTTGAATCCTACCATCGCATTGCGTGTATTTTGAGTCCGCCCCGAACTAGAATTAATTTATCAACTTTGAGATCCAAACTGCCTCAGTCCTACAATCCCAAGCGACTCTTTGCCTCACAATCTCCAATTGCCCAATTGCGTGCACATGATCAAGTCGAGAACATGGGTATCAGTTTACCGAGTACTATGTATGTAGTCAACCAATTTGAATTTCCCACCCAAGCCCCATCGTGGAAATTCCAACCCGTCGGTGCCAGCCGCGCCGTGGAGGAGATGTACGTTACGTGTCGTGTCGTGTGAGTATAGGTATGTAGCTGTTCGGCTACCGGCGTGGATGACGGTGGAAGTACCGGTGAACTGACCCACTGCACCGGGGATGGTATCCGGTTTTTCCGATAGGGGGGAGGGGTAGTTGCGCTTTGAGTGGTTGCAGGGGTGGATTAAAATCGGTGATGGTGGATGATATGGGGGGGGGGGTTCCACTGCTGTTGTTCAGGTTTCTCTTGTACGGTTTAGCTGGGTAGGGTGGTAGGGTTTGGGAGGGGAGGGTAGGGGATTGTGAATGTGGTTTCAGGGGCGAAGGGGTTGAGGGGTGAGAGGTGTTGTTTGCGCAGTTGTGTCTGGAGTATCTGTGTGTGTGTGTGTGTGTGTGTGTGTGTGTGTATGTAGGTAGGCGAAGTGTGTGTAGATACCTATAGACCGAGAAAATCGCCGTGGCTCTTCCTTTATGGTTCTATAAGTTCAGGGAACGGTGGTCGGAAGATTGGAGACGTATACGGACGGCGATCGTTTTTCCCTTGGTTTAAAAAAATGAGGGGTACGGGTTTTCGTATTCTCGTACTCAACTCGAGTCACTCGGGTCGTTCGAGCTGAGTTGTTGTGTCAGTGTGATGAGGTCGACCGACCGACTCTTCTTGTCATGTTGGGGCGACCTGAAAAAAAGCGGGGAAATCAGCTGGCTGGTTGTCTTTGACCACTTCGCTTGGAGCCGCAGCGATTCTCCTCCAGGGGGTTTCGATCCCGGGAATCGGATCTCTGAAACCGATGGACGAGTACGTATATGTACATGCGGTATAAAAGCTCTTGCGGCGCGGCGCGGGGCTGGTGTATGCCGCGGTTGGTGTATGGCATGATCTGATCTGCCGAACTACTCAGTAGTGGTGGTGGGTCGCGGCTCGCCAGGAAGATGTATGCGAAATTGATTCAATTGAACGATATGGAATGGAGATGGATGGGGCCCGGTGGGTGCGCGGTGGTTTCAGGTTCAGTTCGCATTTCCGTGTTTGTGGGGAGAGGTTCAGCTGGGTTGTGCTGTGTTGTACGTTTTTATGCTGGCTGAGATGGTGGTGGTGGTGGTTTGTTTGTTTGTTTAGTGACTTACTGGGGAAGGAAGGTACTTTGTGTACCCGTGACTAGACCAGCTGGGTTGCAACTCGGTGAAGAAAGACTAAACTGTGATTTCAATTTCGAGGCACTGCTTGTTGATCCGCACCCGCGATTTGCTAGCAACTCCTCGTGTCTATTTGTCATGGTTGAGGAATGCTCGAATTTGAGATGCTCTCATACTTGGCAAGTGAATCGGGCTTGGATAGTCCATGGCAAATCATGAGCTGCAAAGCTGGGGACGACCCTTCCACAGCGCAAGACTGATCTAGATCAAGGGACGAGTCATGATTCCCCAGACCACACGCCTCGAACGCAGCTTCTCCCGTGCAGATAGCAATCCCGAGCCTCGAGTGCCGAACATGTCTACGAGTCAAGCAAGGCATTGGCGAGTGTACTCCCCACATGAACGAGTGTCTTCCCGAGTCGAGGTCGAATACTTCATATCGAAATCAGTCGTGATCAGTGATCCTGCACAGCTTCCAGCAGCCACACCCACGAGTCGACGATAACTCTATCCCTACAAACTCAGATTCATACTTCCACCAAGCCAAAGTCTATCTCTTGTTCACACCTTCATTATTGAGGCCCCTTCTCACTCCAAACTTCAGACTCCAGGTAACTTTGGGTGGCGTTCAGTACCTGACTTGAAGACGCTAAGCCTCTTCCAGTCTGCCACGAGGCACGAGTACTTTATCAATCTCGGGGCGTCATGGTCACCATGATCTGTCTTGGCCCGGCCATGGGATCCTGCCTGGGATTGGAGGAACCAACAATCTACATTGTGACAAACGTTTTGCCGAATTTCCCACGATTCCGCCACCTGAGATTTGGAAGGGGGATCGTGGTTCCGGTCACATGGTGGTCGTTGCGTCTAGAACCAAGCCACTAGGGGCTAAAAGAGAGTTTGGATTCGTCTCAAAGCCTCTTCGATTCGAATGGGAAGCCAGGGAAAAGCAAGGCAGCGGATTTGGATGCTAGGCCCAAAAGTGCCTGGGAACCACCGGAGGACACCCCAAGAAGGAATTCAGACCAAACTGCTGGCAGGGGCGCGATGAAGTTCAGTTACCTTGGTTGTGGTTATCGCCCACGGTGAGATTCTCCGATCTAGAGCCGTCCCAGTGCGTGGCACTAGAAAAAAAACCTTGCGTGGGCACTGAGTGGGTGTTTCGATTGATAAGCTGGGCTTCGGTTGCAACGTGTGTGAACGAGCACGTTTCAGAGTCACATAGCGTCGAAACGAGTCAGTGCAGCGAGTCGAACGTGACAGCAAAGCTTGACTCTTATCGCTTATGCTGGCTGATGGTATCCTTGAACAAGCGGATTAAATGAGGAAGGAGTCGTTGAACTCCTCGTGCTGGCAGTGCATCGCTTAAACTCCCAAGACTCAATCTCAGTCGGCGGCGGGTTGGCCCGCTAGCCAGATCGGGACTAACATCAGGATCCGTACTCGATCGGAGGCACTGGCCGCTAAGCCCACTTGGGATCTAGTTCAGCTAAGTTGCAATCTTTTGCAATCTTTTTCAATCTTTTCCTCTGCTCCACTTCACAATTTTTGCTTCACTGGGTTAGTTCAGTGGAATAATGGAATTTGTCTCACCTGTGCCCGGCACTGCCAGCACGCGCATGATCTCCCACGCTCCGGAGTGAGTGGATTTACCTCGGTGTCAGTTCCTGCGGATGCGTGCACGACGCACTAATCATCACCAGGGTCCTGGACCTTCTCCCATGTGGTGATTTCCCCGAGGTCTGGTCTCGCTTGTCATCTCACCCAAATCCTCCTGCCTCTTAGACCAACTAGTCTAGTCCTCGCCGGCGTCATTGGTAGCAATGGAGATATGCCCCAATCCGTTTGGTCACTTTTTCCGGCTGTGATCCTTGGAACGTGCTGTCTCTTACCTCTCGGAGACGGATTTCACTAGCCTCCAGCTATCAGGCCTGGCTGACGACAACCAAGGCCTTGGTTTATTGCTGACATCCTTCGGTCTGAATCCCTTCTTCCTGCAAATTAGCAAAGGGAGCTACAAACCAGCTTGTGAATTAAGAACCAAGATCCTGGCTGCACTTGACTCGCGTCGACCTTGCTTTCCTATCTGCTCCCGGTAATGTGGGTAATAGAGCAAAATGTCCCTCGGAGAAGAGCGACAGCGCAATCTATTCACTGAGCGACCAAAGTTCTCTAGCCCATATCTCCGAGAATTGGCCAGATCATTCATCCTGATACGCCAGCGGCTAGCACATGGACCCAGTTTTGTTAATTAACGTTCAGCTGCTGTGGCTGACTGGGTTGGCAAATGTGTAATCACAGGCCGTGGTTGTTTGACAGGGCTGGATCGTGACTCGCCAACATCAGTGCCCACTCTCCATCGTTCCTGATCACAGGATTTCCGAAACCGATTTACTGCTGCAATCGGACCCAGTCTTGGCTCTGAAAAACATTCCCGATGGCCTCTAATCGTGCTCTTCTCCCCAGCAGACATTGCTCTTGCTTGTCTTGAATGGCCACCAGAAAAGCGGGACCTGGCCCTCGTCCTGCTCCGCAGACGCAAATTGAACGTCCATAATCAAGACTCGTAGAAGAGGGGAAATGAATCCATGGCGTTCCGCCGTCGCTAGCCCTCGTCCACTCGCCATGTCCTCGTCTAGCCCTGGCTGAATTCTAATATATTATTTGCCCTTAATTGCAACATGCCCCGAGATCCTGGTTCCTGGAGGAGTTCGGCCAGACCCGCGAATTGAGTGCGCGGTACAGATATCAGCTCGATCCTTCTGATTATATCACCAAAGATACCCCCTGCGAGCAGTCTGGCTTTCCCCATCTCGGGCCTATTCCTCACTCTCTCTTCAATCCTCTCCCCAATGCGCCACCGGATCGCCGCTCGCTTGTAATATTTAGGCCTTGACGTCCTCGATGCAGTAACCCAACCTCTATCATTCTCTCGTGGTTCTGGACCTTCCTGGCGACTTTTGCTCTCGCCAGAGCCCTTTGCTGAGGGGATGTGGCTCATGGACAGGACTCTCCAGGAGTCAATCCCTGTGTCCTACCTCGGGGGCTATATCTTTCTTTCATATGTCGTGAGCATGATGGGATGTACGACTACCCTGGAGCTGCTTCACCGGCGGACTTCCAGGGCTGGTCTGTACAATTGGTAAGTGAATTGTCCGACGTCACACTCCTCCATGGTTGTTAAACCCCTCTGACCACTCCATTAGGTATCTCCTTCTGACCTCCTCACTCGTTATGGGAGGCATTGGCATCTGGTGTATGCACTTCATTGGGAATCGTGCTATTGTTCTCGGAGACGGGAGCGCCCGCATTCAAATCGTCTACAGCATGACCTTTACCGGCGTCTCCTTCGTTCTTCCAGTTGTCGTTTTACTCGTTGCGTTCTACTCGATCGGAGCCAGCGAGGAAACTAGTTTTATTCGCATAACATTGGGTGGTGTTCTTGCCGGTGGCGCGGTCTGCGCCATGCATTATATCGGTCAACTGGGCATCAGCAACTACAGATGCTCGTATCAGATCGCGAATGTCGTTGGGGCAGCCATCATCGCCGTATTTGCTAGCACGACGGCATTGACAGTCTTTTTCCGGTGGAGGGCGACCTGGACGGACAGCTGGTGGAGACGAGGCATTTGTGGCTGTTTCCTAGCCTGTGCTGTCTCGGGCATGCATTGGACTGCGGCCGTCGGCACCTCTTACTGGGAACACGATGACAGTATTCATCACAGCAGCCAGCTTTCCAGGAGCCAAACTGTTATCATCTGTGCTGTCCTGGTAGGTTGTCTTGGATTATGGTTTGGGGTTTTTCATGCTAATGGATTGTAGGCGTGCGCTGCCTGCGGAATTTTGACAGTATGTGCCGTAGCGGCCGGCGGCAGTCGGAGACGGCTGCATACGCAAGCACGGCAGTTGGTGCTCAGCGGCGTCTTCTTCGACTCTGAAGGACGCCTCATGGTGACGCCCCACGCGATGCTTCCTAGTCGCAAGATTGTCGACCGTTACCTCGGCAAGGTATGTTATGCTACTCAGCAAACTGTGATTGGCTGATTCTGATCCCTTGTGGGACTTATCTAGACTTTTAACGATGATGATCTGACACGATCTCATTCGGCTTTCCTTTGGGCGTTCCGAGCCAGCCGAAACTGGAACATTGTCAAGGACGTCGTTCCTTTCATGAGAGCACGGCTGGAGACGGATGATTACTTCACCAAGGGAGATGGGCTAGACGAGGAGAACGAGCTCCAGACCGACTTCGACGAGCTCTTCAAGCGCCATTTCTGCGTGGCTGCGCAGGACCTTGCTGACGAGTTGCGACAGCCACTCCCGAACCTTGGCATGCTGTACGACGATGTTCTGACAACAAGCGCCCCCGGCTCCTGCTTCGGGCGAGCAATGGGTTACGCTAGACTTGGTGGAAGCAAAGGTCAGATGATGTTCACAGTCCGTCACTTGAATAAGCAAGAATCGAACCGCATGGCCGCTGCCGGTTACCGTTTCACCACGATCGAGAACGTCACCTCTGCGCTGTCCAGTCGTATGCATATTCCCGCCCCGACACTCGGCGTCCACCTCCGAGACATGCGCGACTATGCAACCTCTGGCCACAGTTATCTGCCCGGTGTCCATTTGGTCTCTTTCGTCATGCGGCCCACCATCTACGACCACTTTGAGGTGCTAACCGCTAAGGGAACCGGCAATCCCCTACCTTCGACGACGTTGCCGATCAAGAAACTCCAATTCCAACATCTCGATCTGCTCTCGCACATGGAAGGATGGACTATATCGACCTGCATGACCTGGCTCCGATCAGCCGCGGCCCAAGCTAACACAGATGCGGATGAGTTCCGGGAACAACTGATCCACGCGATGACGACCCTCTCGACCACACTCCCTCCGGATATCAACATGGTTGCCCGTTTCTCGGCTCGACCCTTGATTGCGCCCTGCCGTACGCCAAACAACACGGATGCCACCCACTGCACCCTCTTATCGTTCTGTGTCGTAGGCAACCTGGACACACAAGTCTCGAATCCGAACTACATCTTCGCGCCGCTGCGCCTTTTCCGCGTCCAGCAGCAGCTGAACGAGGCGCCTGGCGGCGGCGAAGGGTTTGCGAAGGAACTCGGCAAGGAGATGTACTACTCTGACACGCGCACCAGCTCGGCGACTGACTCCGAGCTCACCTCGCCCTCGGTCAAATCCACCTCCGTCTTCAAGTTCTGGCCGCGCAAGCAGCCGATCACGGTGGTGCAGGAGCAGCCGTCGCCGGGCAGCTGGGCGGATATCTCCCCGCTGGGCGATATCATGGTCCGGAAAGAGGTGAAGGTCGACGTGGCGAAGCTGTCGGAGCAGATGCTGAATTCGCCGCGCCATGCGTCCCGCACGACGGTGGTTGCCGGCGACATGGCGTACAGCACGTATGTGGACGAGCTGTACAACCTGTGTTATTCGTCGGGGATCCGTCTGCGGCCGGATACCGATCTTCAGGTGGTGATGACTGGTTGAGTTGTGGATGATTCTTTCTTGTTTACGATCAATATTCGAAGGGTCAGAAGACACATGTTGACGACCACACCAACGAGTTTTGCCTGTGCAGGGCGAGCACGATCAGCTTGAGCGCAGCAGGAAAGACCCCTCCCTGCCTTCCAGTTTGCGATCTGCTCTGGAAGAAAGATCTGGGCGACTGACACTCGAGACACGCTCCCTAATTAGCCAGACATATTGGGATTCTGTCAAAGCGCACGCCATGATATAATCCGAGCTCATAGACTTCGGCGTCTGCCACTTTTATGAGACACAAGTGTTTCTCACTACATACATCGATGATGGTGCTCGATGGCGCTGCCAATATACCCGATCCACTCTTTCTCCCTCCATTACTGGAGACACGCTCCTTGACTCCATGTCAAACATGGTTTGCGGGCTAGCCCGACAGTTGTTGCAATCCGCCCCCAGAAAAGGGGGAACTAGAATCTCACATAGATATCATTAAGATATCAACTTTTGTATAGTACTGTACATCGTGATCAATAAGAAAAATCATCTGATCAAGACTACACTTGTGGAATACCTCGTCTCTTCATTTCTCACTATACTTCAAATAGACTCTCACAGGCCAGTCATACGCCTCGAATGATGGATGAGACAGACAATGCGCAAAATACTCAATCCCCCTTCCAACCCCAACCCTAGCCTTTTTAACCCATTCTCTCCCTACTCCAGGCATTCATCCATATACCTCGACACCGTCCCTTCTGTGGAAAACCAAAGTCAACCCGAAACGGAAATGCCGAAGATTGAAACTCGACCTACCCTTGCCCCCCCCTCGGCACCTTCGACCACAAAGCTCTAGACTGCAATGTCACCCGGGGTCTATGCTGCATATTTAAGAGGATCACACGAGGACTGTTCTGAAAAGAAAGAACGAAAGAAAGCTCATCACAACTTTCTCATCCCTCAACTCAACCAAAGCATCTTGCTATGAACTGACTTCGAACTGGGGATATGTTCTCTGCGGAGTTATCCCTCTCTCTCGATGGTGAAAGCAGCGCGAGAGTGGAGTATGATGCTAGTACTGCACTTGCTGCCTTTGACAATGATGATCGTCTTTCGGAATGGTACTCATGTTAGCGGTACACAGTAAGCGACTGCCAGCGTACTTGGACTTGGGAACGGAGCTATTGCGTCTGCCTTATGAGAGAATGATCTAGTCGTAGTGTATGGACCTTGCCAAGGAAAGCCATCCACCGTGCCTCGCCTCCACACGAATCGATCAAAGTCCTCGACTCAAAAGCGAATCTAGAAGTTCAACCCCTGTCCCAGGGTTAATATGCTTGTTGTCCTGACTATACCTTACTCTGGTCCCACGGAATTAGGATTAGTAAATCAGCGACCTTTCCTACTGTACTGTACCTCAAGATGACAGGTCCCCGGATGCCAAACGGATACACGAAAATAAGTGACTAGCTAGTAGAAATATCCTTCCCATCACACCACGAACCCAAGCAAGCTTTACTTTGTTTCTTCTCCCGATGCATCCCCGGGTGACATCTAAGCAGTATCATCCTGTCGTTCCAGGTATAAACTGCGAGGAGAACACGCAAAGCAAATCCTAGGCAATAGAACTAGATCCTATCACTCCCGCTAGACTACTACCCCAGGCTGACTGTAGGGCTTTGGACTTCGAATATTCTACGCGCCCCCTCTCCTCCCTCCTTTGTACCCGCTATACCGTATATCAGCATTGACAGGTAACGTCGCAGTGTTTTTAGAGAGGTAGGTAGGTAGATAGGTAGGTAGGTAGGCAGGGTATACCAGGCCAGTACTTTAGTCGGGCTAGCGTGAATGCACTGCACTGGGTGCATCTCATTTGTCTTGTTTGTGTCTTTGCGCCCTTGGGATCTGATATGCTGGGCCAAGACACAGTACAGTGCAGTGCAGTACAGTACTGCACCCTGCAAACATCCCAACGATGACATTAAGAAAACGGGAGGAAGAAGAGGTCGGATTTCCCCTTAACTTAGGTCGTACCTACCTACTAGTGGGGCTAGCATGGCTCAGATGGGATAGCTGTGGGAATCACGCGCAACTACAGAGAACGTAATCGTCCCCCTGGTAGGTACAGAACGTAAGGAGCAAGAAGCCACGGCGTCTGCGCCGAGATCCGGCTAAAGATACATCACGCCCATGCTGACACCACAGCATAACCATGGATCCTGGGTGGGCGAGTGCGTACAGTGACTGACTAGCACTTCAGAGATAAGGACCGCCCCCGCTCAGACACCGAACACTCTCGAGACCCGGAACAGCTAGGAAGCCCATGGGGCATGGTAAGGTACTGACTGGGACCGAAGCAACAAGCCTTCCTTCTCTGAAGACACTGCTCCTAAGTATTAGTCAACTGAATTACAGAAAGAACCCACTAGAGCAGGTCATATAGAATCGAAGAGAAACAATCGGAAGATGGAAACATCTCTTCCAATGACTCGAGTTGAGTGATAGAATTCCTAACAACTACATTGGTTCCAGCAAAAATATCGCTATTTCCCGCCGACGCTTCAAACAAATTAAAACCCTCCCTCACGAAACCCCACAGACAGAGGAAAAAAAAAACTTTTTCTTTTCCAGTTCCGACACAAGAGGGTAAAAAACAAAACAAAACAAAAACAGTCCAGTACGGAACCGTAAACGAACAAGCTTGTGGTATCTTCGTCAGAAAAGCCCGGCGCCAAGTTGAGTTGTATGATTGGTAATAAAAAAAGGACAAGGCGAAACAAAAGATAAGATGGATTGATTGGAGGACGAACCCCGAAACCAAGGCAAGACTAATTGATTGATAAGATTATCATCTCATTGCCCCAGTTCCGCTAGTTCTCGCTCCTTGGCGCGTAACATCTCCCGCATTTCTTCCGCTTCTCGCTGCAGTTTCAGCCGCCTCTCCTCACGGAGACCGTCCAGCTCGGAGACGCTAGGCAAGGGTTGCGAAGGGGGAGGAGGGGCCAGAGTAGGAGGGGGATGAGGTTGGTGGTGATGGAGGTGCTGCTGGCGGCCCATCGCAGCAAGGGATGGATCCAACCGTGTTTCGTCGTGATGGTGGTTGTTGGGGTTGAGAAGAGATGAGATAGAGCTTAGGCGTGCGGGAGGGGAGGGGTTCATCGAGGACATGATCGGAGGCAGCTGATTAGATCCATTCTCCAAAGTGGTCGGAATGGAGATCGCTTCTGCAGATGAGGCGGTCTCGGCGAGCGTGCGTTTCTTGGGATTGCTGGGATTAGGCGACAGGGATCGTCGGCCGAAATGCGACACCGGAGAGTGGCTGGGGGCGCTGATGCGTTCTGGCTCCAGCAATCTAGGGGGTGGGGGATGATGCGGCAAGGAGACCGCGCCGGAGCCGAAGCCCGTGAAATCGACTGGCGGCGGCGCAAAGCCATACTGCCTTGGGGCGACCGGTGAAATTCGCTCCGCAGGCATGCTGGCATAGTGCTCCATCGGCTCAGAACTGTAATATCGGTGATGATCGTCGTGAGCGTAAGCCAAAGCGGCAGGGGAGGCCTCAGGCGATGCGGAAGAGCCGTTCGATGAGTGTGTTGCGGCGGTCGGCGAGTGTTCCCGCAAGGCGGGCACGACGCGCTTTCGTCGTTTAATGATCGTCTTCTTCATTGTGGTGGGGCGATAACAACCGTGCAACTTGAAATACAGTCCTGCAAACAAAACCGGTTAACATTCGAATTACACATCTTTCGAGATAAGGAAAGTATCATACCACATGCGTTACAGATTGGATGGCCATTCTCATCGCGCCGCCAAAGCGGGGTTACCGTGGTTCCACAGTTCTGACACGACACCAGCATGTTTCCCTCACCCGTCGTCGTGGTCTTTCCAGGAGTGTCCAAAGGCTCCTGTAGCGGGGGAGGCTTCTCGCTCTCGACAGTTGGCGCCCGATTCCAGGCATGTACGGGGACGGTGCCTCTCGCCGTTGATTTGTAAACCCGATTATTATAGGCTGGGCACCCATCACACCCCTCCGCACCGCCTGTGCCATTACAGCTACCCCCACCAGGGCACGACCCTTTGGACCCGTGACAGCCGCCCTCGGTATGTGGTGCATGCGTCTCATGTTGGGGAGGGATTGGCAATTGCTGTTGTTGCGGCTGAGGAGGTTGACCAGGCTCAGCGCTCGTCTGTACGCGGTTCCGCTTGGTTGGTCGAGCAACATTCCGAGCCTTCAGGTAGAGCCCACACGCATTGCAAATCATCGCCCCAGTCGGTGATCGTCGCCATAATGGGGTACTCTTGGTTCCGCAATTACTGGGGAGAGGCCGCCAGCGTTAGTAAAACACATGAATAATCGCGCAACAAGGATTTGAAGCTGCACCTACCTGCAGGAATGACCAAATACAGCGGCATCCTTCTGTGACTTCGGCGACTGTTTCTCCAACGGCAGATGACTGGGAGGCACCTCTGAGAGGGACTTGACGGAAGGGAGGGAGCGTTCTGGGTCGTAGGAGGTTTGAGGAACGGTTCCTTCCGGTCTCCTCGATGCGTCGTCGTCACGAGTACGATCGGCAAGATGTTCACGACCAGCCTGGGCAGATGAAACCAACTGTTGCGCTGCGTCCAGGTCCTCGGCTGACGGATGCCGCGTAACCATGTCGGGAGTTCGAGGAAGCGAACGCACCGACTCCATTTGCGAGATTGACGCTAACATGATCGGTATATGGTGAAGCTATTCCCTCGCGCCTCCGGTCTCCCAACAACACGCACCTGAGATCGTATCAAGAGGCCGCGGTCAGTCACTTGAGGAGGATCGGTATCGAGATGTAGAGCAAGGGCTTGTCGTAACGTATGTCGCACCACAGTCGGGGAGAAAAACGTATTGTACCACCAGGCCAAAAGTCGGTCAAGATGACAGTGCAGAAGAAAAAGAAAAGAAAGGTCAGAAAAGGCCGGCCGGCTGGAAATGTCAGCCAGCTGGGGACTGGAGCCGGGAAAGTCGAAGGAGACGAAGATCCTTGATAACAGGAGCAAGAATGCTGCAAGAGAAGAAAGGGCGAACGATCAGACGTCGAAGCACGACAGGATCAGCAAGCAGTGAACAGATGGAGATCCTGAGAGCAACAGATGGGCCACGAAAAGTCCTACGGTTGGTCTTATCCGAGGACGACGGAAGTAGTCAGAGTGGCGATGTAGCCGTGGCGTCGGATGATGTGTGGCTCGAGGCGTATATTCTGGAAGGGAACAACGGGTAAGAAGGAGTCACGAGGTTTGATGTTGAAAGAGTGAAGTTTGAAACCCAGGTGTAGAGGGGGGGATGAAAGAGACGATTAGGCAGATGGGAATGGAGAAGGCTGAAGGACAGGGTCCAAGACGATGGGAGGGATAGATCGATCGTTTAGGGGATAACGCGGAGGGCAGAGGGAAAGATCGGCAGGTGAAGGGCGACCAATACAAGGCGATGGAATGTCGGATCAGATATGATGGAGGGAGGGAGAGGAGGGAGACTAGAGAGGCAGGGAAGAGTAGAGTCAAAGGAAGGGGGGGGGGAAGAGTGAGGGTAGGAAAGAGTTCCAAGGGAAAGGGGAAGAAGAATCAGGGGAGATATGATTTGATCCGAGGGGCCAGATTGATAAACAGAAGAAGTGAAAGAGAAGGGGAAAGAAAAAGTGGGTATAAGATGGAAGACAGTTGAAGTTGTTTGGGGCTGATGGCTTGATGGCGGATGGCTGATGATGCTGATGATGATGATGATGCTAACTAATGATGATGACCGGAGACTGATAACCCCCGGCAGAGCGAGAGAGCGAGGGAGGGAGAGGGGCCAGACTGCTCGGGGAAACGATTACCATGTTACTTACCAGGATGGAAATTTTCCTTTTTGTTCTGCTTCTGACTCTTTTTCTTCGGTTCTTTTTTTTTTGGCCTTCTTCTTTTTCTTTGTTTTGGAAGTAAGGTATTTTGTTCCGAAATGCTGTGTAATTTGCTTTGCTCGTTTGGGGATATCGGAACGCGGTGGTGTGAAGAGCTGGCTGGCTGTCACTCACACCCAGCAGAGTGGTCTTATCACAACTAGTCGCCGCCCTTTCGTTATCGATCTCCCAGGGGGATCTACGACCGGGGGGTGGGAGTTCCCTTTCTGTACTAGAGTGTGTCGAACGATAAAAGTCCAGTCCTGTTCTTCTGGGAAAGTAGCTTTTGCTTTTGGGAGAACACCCTGCAGAGACGAAAGGACAGTGGGTAAACCCGACAGGATGGAAAAAGAATCAGATGGTCAGCACCACCGTGGCATTTGGACTGATCAGAAAATGTGGGTGACTTTTTTGGTTTGTGCATGGATTGGCAATAGGGAAGTTTGCTCCCTTCTGACCTTTTTTTTTTTTTACCCTGATGGCCGTTTTGTTTTCCATTCCGGCCAATTCATCTCGCAAGCTTGTCCCCAGATCGAATCATTCGGCTCCACCTAGCCAAACACGGCTTAGTGCGCTGGGCCGGCGGGGCTGCTGCCTTCCTCTTCGGTCGCTAGCGCCGAGATTGTGGAATAAGCCTTATTCCACGAGTGGCGATTGGCCTTCGCCGCATTTCCTCCTCAAGTCAGCCAGATTCTTCGCGCCCTCATTGGCTCTGCCGGAGATTCCATTTCGGTCTTCCGAGCTTCTACCTATCATGCTGGTCGTCGCGCTATTCTACTCACTCGGCAGTGGGTGAGTTTTTTCATTTTGAGCCTAGACCGAAAACGAAACTTATGTATCAAACCAATGGGGAAACCAGAAATAAACCAAAGGAACAGAGAAAAACGCAGAAAATGAGACGGACAAATACGTAGTTCACTCGTCTGCCGCTTAGACATCCGGACTAGTGAGAACTAGGTTGGCTGCATAAGAGTCCGGACTAGCAACACTCCCGACGTTTCTCCTTAAAAACCCACCGGAATTGTCGTTATCTCACCCGAGGCGACGGGGCTGAACCGATGAATGGTTGGATGATTGGATCTATCCTTTAGTCGTCAGTCTACAGGTAGACTAGACCAAGCTACGTACGGACCTTTTGGATGGCCTCTAGACTGACATATTCCGATTTGCCCGGACGAAGAGATAATCAATCCCGTTCCAGCCCAGGCGGGTTGCGATCATTGATGTTTACTGGTATTATTATTCAGATTAATCAGTCCAGGGAAACACCATGCCTCCTACTCTGATAATCTTGCTTTTGTTTTTCCTGGATTCCTTTCCCAGCCGATCGGGATTGTGATAGGTACCTGCTATGAAATCAACATTTGCTCATCATGCCTAGTACTCCGTATACATAGATGCTTCAAGCGTCGATAGTAGGTGCCAGGTCTAGCTTCCCGCCTGTTTCAATCTACTCCGTATTCCGTACTATCTTCCGAATTAGGTACATCTGCACCTGCTGATCTAGGCAACTGATTATCTTGTCCACGGTCCACGGTCAGATAACTACGTAGATAGCTTCTACCGGTAGACGGACTCGTCCGAGATCAGACACCAAAAGAAGAAAAATCCTTAGATCTATTCCAATCCAGACTGATTGACATTTCTATTGTCTGTTAGTCGATCCGCCAGGTCATGGCGTGATTGGAGCCTTTTTGTCAGAAAATGAAACAGAACCGAGGGGGGGAAGGGGGGGAGGGTTGGGGAAAAAGCAACCCGCACATTCTGTATAACCTGGCGTGATTGATATCATGATGCGATATGATATGATCTGATCTCTGATGATCTGATACGGTTACAATACCAAAACAGATCATTACCCTGGTTCGTTCGGTCCCTTTTTTTTTGGCTTTACGGAACTCCCTCGCGAAACAATCACCTGCCAGGCAGGCAGCATTAACGCTACCTAAAATTAGGTTACGGTGTACGTAGTTTACTACTAGGTAGTAGTTAGTGATTCCCAACTTGTATATTATTAATCTAGACTCTCTCGGCTTTTAGTTCTTCGCTCTCGGACCATAATTGCCGACCTCGCCCATTTTCGAGCAGGGGTTGCAGGCTTGCAGCTGGATGTACTCCGTAGTATGTACTGTAAGTCTGCAACCACTGGAGAAGGGGGCAAAGGGAGAGCGACAGAGAGCGTGGCAGCAGGGAAAAGTTGCCACCCAGCAGCCAGCGTGCGTGCCAAAAATACGAACGTACGTTCTGTACTATGCTCACTCAGCCTTCCACCTTCCTTCCCCTCTTCCCTCCCTTTTCGCCTTGCCTCGGTTCCCGGGGATAAGAACGGACTTTTGGCCCCCTAAAATAATATCCCGAGTTTCATGGGGTTCGGACATGGAAGTAAACTACGGAGCGATGAACCAGACAGACAGTCGGAAGATCCGGCCAAGCTTGGGTCATATCATTACTGACCACCAGCTATCTGGTCATTCGGCGACAATGGATCGCTGTCCGCTTAGACTACTTCACATCGGCTGTCAGCCATCGCCCAATATCTGCCTTGGCTATGTGGGGGAGGCGTAACGATCACAGCCTTTCGAAAGCGATAGGCTGGGGGAGGGGTTAGCTGGGAGTGGTTAATTAACTCGCCTGCCTGTACCCTAAATCTCGATCCATGTCAGGGTAAAGAGAGGAACAGTCAAAATTACGTAGGCGCCCAGCCATGTGGTGCTGCCTCAGCAGGGTGTCCTGTCTGCAGGGCTGGTTACAAAAACGCAAGGCGAATTTGAATCTGGGACGAAGGCAGCAGCATGGCAATCAATCAAGGTTTCTCCGTCAGCGATATCCGATCCAGTACTTCAGCTCAATGCGACGATACATGTCCATACGAGTACAGATAGTACTTCGGTGGTCTGGACGGTACTGGACTTATTTGTTTGAGAACTTGTCGAGAGTTTTGATGGGCGTTGGATTGTTTTCTACTAAGTCAGTCAGGGTAAAAGGCGGAGTGATCGGTTGAAATCGAGCCATCAATCACCATGCAGCCAGTGCCCGATCATTCCCGGTTCTAGGCAAAAAAGATAGGTCGAGCCCATCAAGGCAGCAGGGTAGCAACAGGGTAGATCATGGGCTGTTTCGCCGCAGTATTTTGCAAACGCAGGACGTGTTACGGTTGATGTGTAACAATGTTCGGATACGTGGTCTGTGAAAGGGGCCGTGAGATTGATTATCACAATCGATCTGCCAGACCGACTTTCTGCCTCCGTATGTAAGATGATTAGCTCAGCTAATCTCCGGACAAAAGTACCCTTGCCAATGGACAACTCATTGTGATCGGCATGGTATTCTAGAACACTGAGTGCGAGGCCTATTGGCCAAAGAAAGGGATTCGGTATAGGTTAGTAATGCACACCTATGAGCATGCCTTTTATGCGCTCCTGTTGACATGAGTCATATCCACGACTTCTGGGGCATGTCCAGCTTACTCGAAAAGCACATGGCCTATGACGGACCTGGTTTGCTGCGGACAATACTCTTACAGTACCTTCCAAGCTAGCTTCATCGCCCCCGGCGACAAAGTCCGGAGTATGAGCAACAAGTTCGGCGGAGTCCGGATACCCGGATACCAAATCCAATGAGTACTTCTATCGAAAGATTTTGACTGCATCAGACGATCCGGCCTACCATGGCTGGCTACAGCAAACATCCGGGGTAGGCGCAATAACCCCTCATCTCGAGAGGCGGAAAATCAGCTCAAATGGTGTCTCGGATCTGCCGGGGTCCTTGTCCGAATAGGACTCCTGAGTCTTCCTAGGGAGAGATGCCATCATCACATGAGGGGACCTGGAACCAAGAAAGCAAACAATCCATGATAGTTATAGCCGGTTATAGTGCCAGCGCTCAGACCTCGACCAAGAACCGTCTAAAGAGCTGGTTCATTTACATAAGCTGCAAGGCTGATGGTATTGACAGCCATAATGAGGAACCGAATGAAAAAGAAAAAGAAAGAAAAAGTCCTCTCCATGCTGGTATAAATCACCGAACCCCAAACCTAAAAAAGATACCCAGGTACAGTACAGTACACACATATCTGACACCCACTGAGGGCTGGGAAGAAAATACCATATATCTAGAGTTATCGGCACAGTGTGGCTTTGGTCCATAAGACCGCTGCGCTCACTGAGCCTGTTCCACCCACCCCCAACTTCCGCAACCGTTCGCATACCCATATTCAATTCGTCGCAACTCATTCGATCATCAAGCATTCAAATAAGAGGGATAAAGATAGATTTATCACTTTACCGCCGGCCGTACACGGTCATACTCCGAACAGGCTGGACTGACATAGCCCCGACGCTTGCCCGTTCGTGGTGACAAGGGCAGCGGCTGCAGATTTGAGTAGCACCAACCTTTGTCCGAGCACGTGTGCAGAGATCACACGAGGCCACATCGCCCGACTGTTCCTGCAACGCGCGCACCATGCTTAGACCTGCTCAGCGCCCCAACCCTGGTCGGTCTCGCGCATGTTGGACGGAGGCTCGATGGAGGGAATGAACTCCAGGGCAATGTATCCCAGACCGATGAAGCCGACGATGGAGCCCGCAATATAGCGCAGGACGTTGTCGTGCAACATGATCGACCCGACGAAGATGTAGACTGATTCCCGATGTTAGCGCAAACACATACAAAGATTCTATCTCCAACGCAGCGCAAACTTACAGCCACCACGTCCCAGGAAGGAGAAAAGGAAAGACGCGTAGCGGTAGACGTAGTCGGGGACGTTCGGCAGGAATTCCAATCCACCAACAACTGGGCATCGCGGTTAGTCTCGCCCTATTGCATGGTGGTGATAGTATGAAACTTACGAAGACCAAAGATAATCACATAGACGCCGACAATGATGGAGCTCATGGACGCAGGGAAGAACTGGGAAATACCACCCAGGACCATGAGCACACCGACGACGATGTTGACGATTCGGCTGGGTGTAAGAGTCTCGTTAGCTGCTGTGCTTGCGATGATGACGATGATGGAGTCTGGAAACGGGTCCGACGTACAAGATGTTGGAGAGATCCATTTTCGCGATTAGGTCGACGCAACTGCGTATATACTCGATGGTGGTGAAGCTTTCGTTCTAGTGGCAGAAGCAGCCGAGTAGGATCGGGAAGAGGGAAGAGTGTCTATCAAGCAATCACGTTAGTTGGAATTCAACGCTTAGGTGAACCTGGCAGCGGCGGAGACGAGCTGTTGTCGCCTATCAGTCATACCTGAGTGGCTAGATGAAAGATAGTCGACTCAGTGAGCTTGACTCCAACCCGCAGCCAGCAATATCAAGGGAAACTCAGACTCACCTTTGGAGCTAAGAGTCCTGAGCAGGCAGCAGGAAGGAAATGAAGGAGACGGAGAGTGCGGAAGGGAGATCGGAGAGATGGTTGAGGCTTAAGCTCTTTCGAGTTGTCGCGCTGTCGCAAGCTGCGGGTCCGCCAAGGCCAACCTTACCCATGACTCAGCAATCGCCGGATCTGATCGCATCCACGCGAGATTGCAACCAGGCTATGTTTGGTTGTCAGAAATCAGCTACCAGCTATTTTCATATGTGAATAGTGGCTCATGTTGGCAAGAATATCATTTCTTTAATGAGGCTTGCATGCACATCTGCTTGTCACTACTCAATGCCTAAAAGACTCCCACTATCATGGGTTCAAGACAGTCGGGCGTCGCTACAGCCGTCGACGTCATACCTCACGCTAGGTTGCCATGATATCCGCTTTGTGAGATGATAGGGCGTTTTCAGATCCCATGCGACAAATATCTGATAACTGAATAATGGCCGCACGCGCTGTACAACGCTGAAGTCACAGTATCTGTGATACATGACAGACCCGGGTTTCTAATACACCTGCAAAACTCAAAGCATGTCAAGCCATACACCTCGCCCAGTGGACGTGTGCACAAATCGTGCAAGCACAGCACAGTACAGTACAGTAGATCTTTACGACGCCATGAGATCACCCTGCTTCCTCTCAAGCCTGACAGCAGACAGTCCGTTAGCCAGCCGGCTCATACTCACACAGTCGCGCCCCAGCTCCGCATAGATCGCCTCCAAGTCCGTGCCCAGTCCGACCTTATCAGCTGTCTCCAGACTGCGCCCGTCCAGGAACGGGGCCATCGAGGGCCAGACGCTCTGGACATTGTTGAGGAAGAGATCCGCCCCTAGATCCCCGAGACCCTTGATCTCCTTGATGAGCTGCCGGGTCTTCTTCCGGTCATTGTTCGCTTTCTTCAGTAGGTTGTTGAGATCACCCTCTAATGTGCCTTTAGCTTAGCTCAGGCCAAAATCATCACCCAGATGCGACTCGAGGAGCGCAAAACATACCATACTTATCATTGATCAACTCCACCATTTTCCCCAAATTCGTCGCCCCTTGCTCTCGATACCGATTGTAGCCACCATCCTTCAGGGCCATCGCCCGCTCCTCCCAACTACTTTCGCTCAGCTTGCGGATATCATGGAACCCAACCTCAATGAGATGGTTGACTGCGCGCTGCGAAAGGTCATGGGAGATCGGACGCGACTTGAGCATCGCATCGATGACCATCGCGAGTAGCGTCTCTGGTGAGCCATGCAGGGTTCCTTCCGCAATTGTTGTCCCGAAGAGCGGGAGACGCCCGTAGTCTTGGACCGCTTTTTGCAGCTTCGGCTTGCTGATCGTTGTAGGGCTTTGTGGTTCTTCGGGAGTGGGCTCTTCTGATCTATCCTCTTCTTGATCAATATCCTTCTCCTCTTCCCCCTCCTCCTCTTCTTCTTCTTCTTGTTCATCACCTCCATCATCCTGCTCCAAAGCACCATCCTCATCCTCCTCATCATCAATACTCTCAACCTGCCCATCATACCCCTCATCCTCCTCTTCCGCCACATCCTGAATTACCTGCTCCTCAGCATCATCCCCTGTCCCCGCATCTTTCTTGACAAACTTGCTAGGCGGCTGGTCACGCTCCCGCTCGGCTTCAGCGCTAGCCTGTCCAGTACCCAACTCATCACCGAGATCCCTCTGATCGAGTTTGCGCTTCGGGGGGATGGTGGGCGTGCCGTCCTCGGTTTCGGGATAGTCCTCCACCTGCGGGGATTTGTACTTCATTTCGGCGGTCTAAACCCTAGATATTCAGTGAGCGGAAACAATAGAAAGAGAATCTCGTTTAATTAGAAGTAGAGAGGAACGTGCGTGATAGCGCAACAATGCTAAGTGGACAAATTGTTTTGGTCCAAAGCATTCGTCTTTACTGACTGTGAGTCTGGGGAAACCGGGACTGATTATTGTGCTCGTATGATTTCTCCGCGGACGATGATGGCGTCATCATGAAATAAGAACTTCCCCCGGTTCAACCCCACCTCCGCCCCGGGCCTATTCGCTCTCAGATGTTGTTCCGGGGCAAAAGCGGAAGCTTGGCACTTTCGTGAATACGATCTATGGTCTTTCACTACGAGATCCATTGATTTTGAAGAATAGACAGATGCTTCAATGTTGGATCTACGTGCAAATATGCAAGTATATACACAGAAAGCCCATCGCAAGCACTCGCACAAGTGAGCTAAAGCTTGGCGCGGCCGGACAAGGAGCTCTGCACCAAGCGGACGGCCTCCTCCGCGCAGCCGAACGAGGCCTGGTACCCGAACCCGCCATGACCGTAGTTGTGGACGACGGCGACGCCGTCGATGCGGTCGGCGGCGACGCGGGGCCCGCCCTCGCGGAGGGGCCGCAGGCCGACGCCGTGGCGGACGACGTCAAGGCCCTCGATGCCCTGGCCGTCGCGCACCAGGGCGGGGCACAGCGCGACGGCGCGCTTCATAATGCGCACGGCCAGGTTGGGGTCCGGCAGGGGGTCCCACTGGTGCTTCTGGTAGGAGCCGCCGATGACGGTGCCGCCGCCCGCGGCGCGCGTCATCACGTAGACGACCTCGTCCTCGCCGTCGTCGGAGCCCGAGATCGACACCATCTGGCCCGGGTCGTTGCGCACCACGACGATCTGCCCGCGCGCCGGGTAGAGCTTGGCATCCTGGACGCCGCCGAGCGTGCGGGACGCGAGCCCCGTGCAGTTCACGACCACGTCGGGCTTGTGGCCCGTGTGGTGGTGGGGAGTGTTAGCGGCGTCGCTGATGTGCTTGAGGACGCCGCGCTTGAAGACCACCCCGTTGCGCCGGCATTGGCCCACTAGCCAGGGGAGGTAGATTGCCGTGTTGATGCAGACGGAGGTGAATTGGGAGGCGTTGTCGATGCCCGGGGCTAGCTGGTCGGCGGGGATCTCTTGGAACTGGCCCGGGTTCGTTAGCCTGGTTGTCTGGCGGGGATCGGGGCGGGTTCAAGGGTACACACGTCCGGCACAACATCCTTATACCAGGGGTTCTTTTGCACCAGCTCGGAGAACCAGTCCCCGGTTGCGGATCCTTGGTCTTTGGTGCGGTTGTAGACGATTGTTTCTGCAGGCGAGTTAACTCTAATGGCAGGATGGGGAGGGGGATAAGTGATGTTCATACCTTGGAAATGAAGTCCTGCCTCGGGATGCTTCTCGGTCAGCTCCTTCAATGCTGGCCAAGTGTTGCGCTCCCATCTCTCATGGTCACTTCCACGCTTGCCCACACTGCCAATTGTTCAGTCAGTACGCTGGACTCCATTGTCATCATTATTCTTTGCGAAGGAACGTACGGGAGATAATTGGCCCCAGCCCACGGGGAGGCATATTCTATATCATAGTCGCCAGGCATGTGCTTCGCGAGAACGGTGATACTATTCGAGGGGTCCTTCGAAAGAAGATACGCAGTGGTCAATCCAGACACACCGGCTCTGAGACCAGAGGTCAGTATGAGCTCCGCAGACAACAGGCGGGGTCAAGCATACCCCAGAACCACGATCTTGTTTGTCGCCATTGAAACTGCTACTGTTGGGGGGGGGGGGTGAGTCTATCGAGTCAATAGAAGGCGTATCCCCAGGGAGGATTACGAGAGTAGGCTGGTAAATAGGTGATTATTTAAGTTAGTTGCTGTGAGTCAGTCAACTAAGGAATGATAACGAACGCTTCCCCTGCACAAACAGAGCTTATCGCATGCGGGCAATTGGGATGCGGTCCGGATTGATAAGAGAGAGCCACCCCCGCTCAGCCGGGGACTAACTAGGTAGAGTAAGACTGCCGTAGACTGGGGGGGCTTCCCGCCAAGCCGGAATGCGACAACCCCGTCCTCAGGCATCAAGACTGGATAGGATAGGATAAGATGTCTCGATGGGATCTTTCAGGCGGCACGCACCCAATCGCGTTGACGTCATATCTCAAGAAAGATTGCAGAACGCGAGCACAGTCTTTCTCCTGCCAATCATCTTAAGATAGGATGTGACTACTCGATCAAAAGGCTAAAAGCACAGGCAGGGTCCATTCAAAATGGCCCCGTGCTCCACTAGATCAATCGGCAGCACTACCATTGGAGTCCGATCACGGACCGAGTGGACAGCCGTCTTCGCCGAAAAGCAATGAAGTCAATCTGGTCAGCGAAGCAGCGTGACACCTACTGCCATCGATCTGGCAACCATACGCCCAGGAACGGAGCCATTGACTCGCTGACAGCTCACGTCCATGTTGTGCAGTTATGTCCGTGTTCTGCAGCCTTGCTTCTCCAGACATCCAAGTCCTTGCCAATGGACCGTCCGACAGGTCACTTCATGCACCAACAACGCAGAAGGATCCAATAGCGGAGTCGCGTCGGGGGGGCGATCGCGGTTTAACCGTTTTATGTGAATTGGGCGGTGTGTTTTGAGTGCTTGACTGCCTAAGTGCTTTCTCCAAGATTTCCATCCTAGATCAAGGGCAGTCAGTGCACTCTCAATTCATCACGCTTATTCGGTTGTGGGATCGGATTCGAGGATGAATGAAGCGCGCCATCCATGGACGAACGTGGTAAGTTACAGTAAGGAACGCGTCCTCATTTGATGGACTCGGAGAGTGTTGTGGGGAGGGGACTGTGTGTAAGGATTGATTACCGATCTGCAGAGCCCGTTACCGATAGGGTCTTTCAGGCCTCTGGGCATTGAAAGTGGGCAGACAGTCTGAATGAGGTGGCTTCCCCTCATTGAAGAGAGGTGAATATGTTCTCAACCGGAAGCTTGGAACAATAGCATGGCTCTGACCGATTCAATGTTGGGCTGGAGTGACCGCTCCCCGCGGATGCGCAAAAAGACTCGATTGAAGGAGAGGTAAGTTAGGTACTATAGGTCGGTAACCACCTAGTAATAGCTCTGTATACCTTTCGTCATCGACTGCTACCGCCCCGGTGAATGACCCAATCATGAGCTGATTATTAGCTCACCGCCTCTGATCCCGGAGCGTAATAAAAAAAAACCCTTGGTAAGAGGGATGTACGTACAAGCATAACAGACGCCTCCTCCGCAGTTCGCCGTCCGAAAAGAAAAGTCTCGCGTGTACTCCCGTAGATCGTGTGTTGCTTTTCTTCCTCCCGCCTTTTCTTCCTTCCCATTTACCACTCTCTACTTTATTCCTTGCCTGAATAACACTTTCTTCCCTTCCCCCTCCCCTCCCCCTCTCCCTCTCATTTATATTCATAGTGACTATTTTTTCTCCTCTCTCTCCCCCTCCCCACATTCTTCATCTCTTATTTTCTCTCTCTCTGCTCGACGAACCTCTCCGTATCTTGTTGTTCGTTCCACAAATGAGTGCATCTCGTCGAGCAGACACTATAACCAACTATGGCGGACGTTCCGAACGGTGGCAGAATTGTGCCCATAGTCGCGGCCCCCCGTCAGCATTATTCCAGTACTCCCGCCGTTGAGACGGTGGGCAATCAACCTCAACCCCAACCAAAGCCCTCCAAATCGTCTAGAAGTACGCGCCAAAAGGCCGCCGAGGCCGAATGCTTGGAGATTCCGTGTCTCAACGAGCTAGGGCTCTATGCGCTCCCGACCGAGGGCGACGGTACGTTGCTCTTTGCCCGCCATTGGCCAGCTAGCTTGTCCCTTGGCGCTCCTACTCTAGTGTGCCCTGTTTTCTGACCGTCAATTGTAGGCAATTGCCTGTACTATGCCCTTTCCGATCAATTGTACGGCGACTTCCTCCACGCTGACCAAATCCGTGTTCGTCTCGCGGATCACATCTTGGCCAACAAGGATTACTTCATGAGCTTCATAGCTGCGGCTGGCGGAGAACGCAGGGCACCACGCCGCGCAGCAGCCAAAGCAGCCAGGCAAACCTATTGCTCCTCGTCATCAGCCAGTCCCGCGCCCCTCTCGGCCCGGGATAAGGAGCGTAGCTTCGACACTAGAGTGGCTGAATCGCGAAAGAAAGGCGTCTGGGGTGGCGCTGAAGAGATCCAGGCATTCTGCCAATCTTTCAAGAGGGATGTGGACGTCTACACGATGTATGGAATCCAGAACTTCCGTGATGTTCACGCGCCCGTCGATGAACACCGAGAGAAAGTGCACATCGCATTTCACGTAAGTAACACAAACACTATGGCGTAGGTGACGTTCTAACCCTCCGCGTAGGATTTTCATCATTATTCGTCGGTCCGACATACGAGCGGGCCGCATACTGGACCACCTTCTATAGCACCCATTGACAAGGAGCGTCAAGAGGAAGCTTCTTCCGCTAGCTCGACTGTCGTGGACGTGGCCACCCCGTGGAAAATCTCGGCCATCCAGGAGGGTCTCGGGGGCAAATACGACCGCGAGACCATTGTAGGCATGCTGCAACAGTGCCGTGGTAACATCGACCGGGCTTTTATCAACCTGATCGGTGAAGACGCCAACTGTAGCGAAGCAGATGCGCCCACCTCGAAGGCTATCATGAAGTCGCGCCTGCAACCGTCCTCGCGATCTTCATCTCCATTCAGTACGGGCAGCAAACGCTCCGCGGATGAAAGCGAAGCTGAAGAGAACCCCCGGCCGGCCGTTCGGCGCACGCGGGTTCGGGAGAATAAACGACGCATTCTTCCCGATGTGACCGTCGGAATTGCCTTCAGAGATGATCAGAACGATCTTGTTTCTCTGCGACTGCGGGTTAGTCCTGACACAGTTGCACCCAAGAAGCAGTCCACCGGCAGCACGACCCCCGAGCAAACCGAAACTAATTCCTTCTCGGAGCCAGCCAGCGACGGCACCGATGCTTCGAAGAAGGACCCCAAGCTCAAGATTAAGTTCCGAACGGCAGCTTCCGCTCCTACAGAAGCCGCTAGTCGACAGCCGACTGAACCTAGTGAAGAGCCCAAGGCCACGCTGCGACGAAGCATACGACTGTCAAAAAGTCGCAACCCCCCCAGGGCCGGTTAAGATCAACCACACGCACCTCACACCATTTGCCAAACCCTATTCAAAATTAGCAGAGTGTCACCACTCACGCATACGAAGCTAACGACCACCATTTACTTTCTCGATACATGGCACCATTTTCTGGCTATTGCATTATCAAGCGCGTTGGGTGTTTGGGGCCTTTTAGAGCGTTGGGCCCTTGCTTACTTTTTCTTCTTCACCATACCCTCCTGCATACCTGCATATTTGCATATGAGTGCTTCATGCATGTTACTAGCGACGCGACTAGACCTTGTTCATGGTTCTATCATTCACCACCACCACCATCATCCTCCTCCTCCTCCCCATCTTCTTTATACCTCACATCAGACAAGATCTTCGGAAGAAGTCCGACTTTTTGAACTCTTTATGATACCACTATACTTCAATGATTCGATACATTACCTCCGCCAGACGGACACATGCACAAATCTCTGCTGCCTCACCACGCAGTGTGACCCGAAATGAACATAATATCTCCGCCTTGGTCTTCATCGGGTGTTTTCAGGGTGCCCTGATCGGGCATTTCTCTGTACTTGATATCCCCAAACTAGCATAAAGATGACGAAACTTGCATACACTAGTGGGAAGACTAAAGGATCGTTGCATGATGCATGATAGATGAAATCTGAAGAATCGCTTACTTTCCGGCTTGCATGGCCTTAGCTTGCTCGGCAGCTTTGCTTGGTACTCTCCAAGAGCACTGGTTTACGTAGGACCCAAACAAAAACATAGACAAACACACAAGCATTCTCAGCCGAGAAAAACAACCCCATCAAACAAACCCCTGATCCCTGGAGCGGGTAAATCCTGCGCACGGACCGTAGCCGGGGAAGAAATACTCACTGTACCCAGAAATATTTGATGCACATCCACAACATATCCTATTGATAGGCAGTGCAGTGCTTCACTGTACGTATCTGTTTCACTCTCATCGACAGAGGGGCAAATCGCCCGCAACCTGCAGTGTACATACACTTATTATGGTTATGCCACAGTATTGAGTAGTGCAGTGCACCCTGGAGTCATTCCACCACTCCACCCAATCATCGAGCTCGGCGGCATACATTGAATATAGGAAGGAACCGCGAAATGAAACCAAAAGAGAGAGAGAGAGAAAATAACAAGATTCCTTGGATAGAGAGAGGATATAGAGTACTCGGTCTTGCTAGGTTATAATTAGTGTATCACTCTTAAGTGTGAGAAGCTTAGCTGGCTTGGCTTAGCATAGCCTGAGTAGCGTAGCTTACCTCCAGGCTCGCAAAGCCCCTCTCTTGAACTTCGACACTGGCGGGAGCATCCGCATCCTTCCTTCCTAGACTGCGCTGGGGATAAGGGTTACGCTGTGGCATGGTACGGATAGTGGTGGGTTGGTGGGTAGATTGGAATCGCTCGGTTAGAGACCTGCTACAATGATGGGGGTTGGGCTGGATTAAAACAAACGACTAAAAAGCTGGGGACAACTCAGTCTACACCTGCTGGAAAGTAGCTGTACTGTACCCTGAATAGCAGGAGATAACGTTGAGCATGGACCATTCTACAATCCAATAATATCTGAATCGACCATGAGCCCCGTGTA